AAAAAAAAAAAAAAAAAAAAAAAAAAAAAAAAAAAAAAAAAGGGAAGATAAGAGTTAAGCTAATAAACAAAGAAATACAAATAATCAGGACTGTACAGGCACATGATCAAAGGAATCAGTGAGATACGATCCTTTAAATAAGCCAGAGTGCCACAGACTGTACTTAAGAGTCAAAATGGTTTTCTTAGGCCTACGGCTGATTGACTGTTTTGAAATATACAACCTGGATGATGCTACAGTTTCTGCCATGAAAATCTGAAAGTTAGAGGAGGAGTTGCCAAGCTGACCAGTGTTTTGCTACACAACTGCAATCATTTTATTGTTAAGTACTACCTGACTACCTTCTAGACTGTTGCTCTCAGTTCCTCATGCTTTTAACTCCAACTTCAGGTTTTTAAGAATCTGTAAGTCTGATTCCTACTTCCTGACATTCTTATTTACTTGGCAATAAATGCAACCCAAGCTTTAAGGTTTTAAGAGCTCCCCAATTGTGCAGAAAAACTGGGAACTACTGTTTTATTGGAGAAACAATAAGGACTATGTAAGGTTGTGTATAAAACTAGCACAACAATGCAGAAGTACAGATTGTTAATAGAGCTTATCTGGCCACAGTGAAAGGAAGTACTGTCTGAGAGAAGGGAGATGGCACCACAGTATTCAGCTCAGCTCCTAGAAAGCACTTGTCACTTCTAGTCTGTACCTGGATAGAGCCATTGCATGCAATAATCTGGTTCTTCATCTCTTCATTCCACAAACCTCGCTCAGTAAGATCTTTAAGTAAGTGAGGATTCACAATCTGATGAAAAAAAAAAAAACAAAAAGATATCAAGAAATGAAATAACACTGGCAGGGCCTATAAAGTATCGCAGACCTAGAACTCAAAATAGTAAGACAGCTGATTTATTAGATCCTCTAATAAACCCTTCCCCCCCCCTTTTAAAAGGAAACTGAGAGGACATCTCACTACACAAAGTTAAATCCCTTTAAGATTTTTACATCTAAGCCTGGTAGTGGCAGCGGCGGTGGCAGAGCACGCCTTTAATCCCAACACTCGGGAGGCAGGGGGCAGGGGCAGGAGGATCTCTGTGAGTTGGAGGCCAGCCAGGTCTAAAAAGCTAGTTCCAGGACATCTAGGGCTGTTATGCAGAAAAAAAAAAAAAAAAAAAAAATCTTCACATCTATTATTGAAGAAACAATATATCATGGTAATAATTCTGCGGTGTATAATACATGTATGTACACATATGCAACCCACACATATACATCAAATCATTACATTATTTGTCTTGCATTTTTATAAACCTTATCTTGCTAACACTAAAAAATTTTATTTTGATAGTATTTGTGTGTATACCCATGGAGGCCAGATGGATGAAACCCCCTGAAACTGGAATTACAGGTGGTTGCAAGCCTTCCAGTGTGGGTACTGAGAATCAAACTTGGGTCCTCTGCAAGTATAGCACAAGTTCTTAGACTCCAATGTCACCTACACATGCACATTCCCACTGACACACAAATTATTAACAAAATAAATAAATCTTAAGTGGCTCAGCTAGTAAAGGTATGTGCCACCAAACATGACAACTATAGTTTCCTCCCTGGAACTCACATGATAGAAAGATAAAACCAGTTGTCATGTCCTCTACCCACATACATGGCATGACATGAGCCTGCCCCTCCCCCAAAAAATGTTGGAGAAGAAAAAAATATGGCATTTACAAAGGAGAAACAACATTGTCTAAGCTGAGAAAATTTGTGTAAACTGATTCTTCTTGATTCTCTTGCGTGATCACACAATAAAAACAACAGTAAAATAACTAAATGCAACTTCCCTATACCTCACAAAAACTTATTTCAGGACATCTAGGAATCTGCTTTTCTCTTTTCTTTTCTTTTTTTTTTTTTTTTAATTAGTAGTTTTCAACCTTGCAGCACTTAAGAATTACCTGGGAACTTACAAAACAATACTGATCTCATCACAGAAATTCTCATTGGTAACCATGTCTGAGAATCATGTATTCCCACCTCTTTGTTTAAGATATATGTCTCATGTAGCTCAATCTACCCTGGAATGGGCTATATAACCAAGGATGACCTTGAACTTCTGATTCTCTTGTCTCCATCTCTAAAGTGCTAGAATTAAAGTTATAACCATCATTCTTGACCTGAGAACTACTCTAAAATGATACTTAAAAAAAAAAAAAGGGGGGTGGGGTGGGGTGAATGCTATGTAGCCTAAGCTAACCTAAAACTAGAGCACCTCCCGCCTCTGTTTCCCAAGTGCTGGGATTATAAACACAAGTCACCATACCTGAGTAGTGATATCGCTCCCAACTAAAACATGTGAGGTAGCACATATGAAACATGCAGGGAGTGGTAGAACATACTTATAATCCAAGTACTCAGAAGGCAGAGGCAGGAGGATCACTGCAAGTCAGAGGTCAGCCTGATCTACATAGTGAGGTTTCTCAACAACAACAACAACAAAAAAAGAGGCCCTTGTCAACTCTGACTCAGCCAGGCATAGTGGTGCACACCTGTAATCCCAGCAACTGAGAAGTGAGAAAGAATGATCCACTCAAGGTCACCCACAACTACATGGTAAACTCAAGAACAGCCAGGGCTACTTAAGACTGTCTCAAAAAAAAAAAAAACAAAACAGCTACTTTCATACTGTACCTCTGGTCCTGAGTAAACTTCTATCTCAGCTTTCAGAAGAGCTCCTATAAACCTGGTTGTTAGCTCTCACCTGGAATTCTCCTGACAAGACTCTGCGAGTGTAGATGTTACTGGTATAAGGTTCAATGGACTCATTATTCCCCAGAATCTGAGCAGTTGAAGCAGTAGGCATTGGGGCAATAAGTAAACTGTTTCTTACACCATACCTTAAAAGAAAAAGATTATTGGAGATTAGTGCTAGAGCTACAGTCTGCCAAGAAGGCAGCTATACTCTGACACACTGTAGTATAGAAAGAGGCTGAGAATACCAGCACAAAGGCATGTAACTCATATACTGACTTCATCACACTACAAGGAGTACAATTCACAGCATGGATGCCACTGCCCCACACTGTTCTACAATGTCTGCCCCTCAACAGAACCAGAACAACTGTAGCTGCTAGCAAGTCTTATAAAGTCCTCACTTATGCCACTTGTTACGGCACTTGGCAGTCAGACACAGCACTCAATGCACTATTTTGCCCAGGGAAACTGAACACAGTCCTGAGCAGCCCATCTGTATCACAGCACATCCATTCAACCCCACTCATCTTTACTATGGGCCTTTATCATCACTGGTCCCTTCACAAAACGGTGCTGTGAAAATGGTTCAGAACTACTCATTATATCACTACAACTCTCCATTATCCTGTGTAAAGAGAAAAATTATGCTCAGAGGAAATCCTCATTAACCCTACTACCCAATTATTAGTTTCTAAAAAGTTAATTTTTTCACTTTTCAGTGCCAAATAGTATTTAAAGAAGAATATACTATTTAACTTTCTTAGAAATCTCCACAGCTTAGCCTAAGATACCAACTCCAGGGTCTGCAAAACAGCTCAGTGGATAAAGACATCTGCCACCAACCTCGATAACCTGAGTTCAATCTATAGAATGCACATGGTAGGAGAGAACCAACTCCTTCAGGCTGTCCTCTGACCTCTATGTGTGCACCCATACACACAATAAATAAAAAGTAAAAATTAAGCCAGGCGGTGGTAGCACACGCCTTTAATCCCAGCACTCAGGAGGCAGAGGCAGCTGGATCTCTGAGTTCAAGACCATCCTGGTCTACAAGAGCTAGTTCTAGAACATGCCCCAAAGCTACAGAAAAATCCTGTCTTGAAAAAACAAAAAACAAAACAAATATTCAAAATTAAAACAATGTTTAGAGGCCAACCTCCATAGCATTTTCCTGACCAGGTGGGCAATAAATACAAATGTCAAAACAAATACTAACACCATTACACACACTTTGTCTGCATCGCTTGTCTTACTTAAGTTCCTCTAATACAGACAGCCTATCCTTCCTACATCCTACACCTGTGGATCCATATGGCGCTCAGCATTGAGCCTCAGGTCCTGAGGGGGTTTGTTCAACTAGGTTCTCACCCTCACTGTCACTTTCTAAATATAAGGCATCAAGCAAACCACCAGTTTTCTCATGTCTTTACTTCCTCACCTGTAAATCCTGGTATCATGTTCATAGACAGGAGATCGTTATGAAGTCCTTATACTTGCTAGATCCCAACTATGGAATCATCTGTAACTGCTGAAAACCTTAAGAAGATCTACTTTTCACTAAAAGATCTCCAAACCAAATCTCAGAATCTGTCAAGTTCCATTACATTTACATGACCAAACTGTAGATGTATGACAGGTCTAGAAGAACACATCATCAATAAGGCAATAAGAACAAATTCTGTTTCTCTATGTTTTATTTAGCAAACAGCTGACAGAAGTATAAAGAAAAGCTTTTATTTTTTTGTACTTTATTTCTGTATTTAGGGTAGGGCGGGAGTGGTCTACAAGTTTGCAGTCAGCCTGGGCTATAGAATGAGATCATATTTAAAAACAAAAATTAAAATTATTTATAAGCCCAGTGAATAAGAGTAAAAACATTTTTTCTTTTTAAAGTAGACCTATTTGTGCTAGGCAGTGGTGGCATATGCCTTTAATCTCAGCACTCTAAAGACAGAGGCAGGAGGATATCTGTGAGTTTAAGGCCAGCTTGGTCTATATAATGAATTCCAGGATAGCCAGGGCTACATAGTAAGACCACGTCTCGAAAAAACCAAAAACCAAAACAAAAGGTGTTCAGCTCCTCAAATAACATCAACTCATACTGAAATGCCTACCGTGTGCTGAAAGGTTTTCACTATGTCAAGCAACTTTCACACTACTATTTTCTTATAATTTTTCTAAAGCCATTTCAGTGAGGTAGGTCATAGCCCCAATTTAGAAGACAATTTTTGAGTTTCAGAAGTTACAACAGCATATGTAACTCCTAAAGAGCCAGAAAGCCCCAGTCTCCCAGCTTCCATGCTACTTTATACATCTCTACTTACTTTGCAATCTTCTCCTTGAGAAGCTTCCAGTCCCACAGGTCTGTAGGAACAACATTCCACATATCATACTGAAGAATCTAAGAAATAAATATTCCACATTTATGTTAGTCTAAGGCAATTGAAAACAATGACCAAAAAAAAAAAAAAAATTTAAAAGAGAGCTAAATATCATATCCTCACGTTCCAGCAAATGCTGTCTTGGAGTCAATACCTAAAAAATATTAGTTCCTTGGCAGGGCGATGGTGGCTGGTGTCGCACACCATTAATCCCAGCACTCGGCAGACAATGACAGCCAGATCTCTGTGTGTTCAAGGCCAGCCTGGTCTACAGAGTGAGTTCCAGGATATCCAATACTACACAGAGAGAAAGCCTGTCTTGAAAAACAAAAAAGAAAAAGAGAAGGGAGAAAGAGGAAGAGGGAGAGGGAGAGGGAGAGGGAGAGGGAGAGGGAGAGAGAGAGAGGGAGAGAGAGAAAGGAAAGAAAAGAAAGAAAGAAAGAAAGAAAGAAAGAAAGAAAGAAAGAAAGAAAAGGACTATCAGGAGCAATATGGGACCTCATCTCAATCACATTCCAAATTCCTGAAGATCTACAAACTAGAAAATCTTAACATTCATGAAATGATTTGAGAGATGCATTCCTTTTATAATAAAGCATACTCTATAATCTCTGCTTCCTTGATCTTATTTGGCTAAGAACACCAAATTCCAAATAACTATACACTAGAATTTCTGAGTATCATCATAAACGTAGAAACTAAAACTTTATACAAAAGAAAGACATACTATTGCTGGCAAGGGCAGCATAAAAGAAAGAATTCTAAGATGTGATACCAGGGCCTGGAATCTGGGGACCCAAGCTATGAATAATCTGTCTTCCACCTGAATGTGGACAGGATCTAGGAATATCATAAATGTCCCAGTCTCTTGCAGAACAGTGATTGCTGGATTTAGGGTCCACTGAATAAATCTAGGCCTCAATAATCCAGAACAACCCCATCTTGAGGTCCTCAACTACATCTGTAAAGACCCTTCTGCAAACCAATGCACTCTCCCAGGTTGAAGGGAGCAAGATTTGTGTCCATCCTTTGAAGAGGGGTCATTATTCAGCCCATTACTGGTACTTACAGACAAAAGGAAATCTCAACCATGTACTTACTCCTTTGCTGACCGGGGAGCCCTCATATGTCTCATAGGGGCCATACTCCTTGGCTAGGTCACAGCTGGCTTCCAAAGCTCCATAATAAATAGTTTCAAAGATTTGCTTATTCAATAACTGGGCTTCTGGGCTCTCAAATGGATATCTCATCAGGATGAAAGCATCTGCTAGACCTTGTACCCCAATTCCAATGGGCCGATGGCGTTTATTTGATAAGTGTGCCTTTGCATGAAAGATTTGGGGAAAAAATGAAAACATCACTGAACACAAAAGGTAACATTCTATGCCACGGATACACATGGCCTCTTTATTTCCAATCTCCAAGGACATCCATTTAAATTAGGACTTGCAGACCACGACAAATGTCCTCCATCTTAGATTCAATAACAACCAGTAAGCAGGGAAATTTATCATACCTCTGGAATGGGGTAGTAGTTTATATCAATTATCTTATTCAAATTTCGGACAATGACTTTAGTGACTTCAGCCAGTTTCTGAAAGTCATACGTATGTTCTGGTGTGACATACATATTCAGAGCCAGAGAAGCCAAGTTACAAACTGCAACCTGTAATATAAAGGGTTCAGAATCACACACTTTTGGTTTCTTCTCCCTGTATCAGTGAGATCACCATAGCCTCTAGAACTATCAGATATGAAAATTTACAACCAACTCCCAACACCAGTGCTAAGGACCAAACTCAAAGAATTTATTAGTCTGTTCGAGGTAACCACTTTACAACTAAGCTAAATCTCCAACCCCTAAAATTGGGGTTTTCTCATCATTTATCAGTGTATTTCTGAACCCCAATAATTCTACCTACCCACTATAAATGCACTAGTGAGAATACTGAAACAATTCTTAACTATGCTCTCAGATGCATTCCGTTCTCCATTCTCCCAGGTGGCTAAATTCTTATTTTTAAAATAGTTAACATAACTATGCCACATAGTTTTTTGTTGTTTTGTTTTTTTCCAGTGAGGGTAACAAAATTGCCTTCAATCACTTCAAGTAAATTCAAGTGAGGGAGTCACAGTAGTAACTATCTCTATAATTTCCTCCATATGCTAGGTAGCTTCTAACCTACCTCATCTTTGCTAGTATACTCTACTATTTCTGTACACAGGTTGCTGCATTTGATAGTTCCCAAGTTCTGCTGGTTGCTCTTCCGATTACAGGAATCTTTGTAGAGCATGTATGGGGTGCCCGTCTCTGTCTGAGACTCGATGATGGCATACCAAAGCTGTTGAGCTTTCACGACTTTGCGGACACGACCCTGCTTCTCATAACTGAACAACAAAGACAGAATTATTCCAATATTCACACCCTAGGAAGAATACATGAAAATATGAAATTATGCAAATTCTCAAAACTTTACTAAAGGAGAAAAAGGAATGATATTCATCTCTTTTTAAAAGGTTGGTTCTATTTATTTGTGTATTTGTGTCTGTGTAAGTGTATGTGCATGTGTGTGTGTGCATGTGCGCACATGCCTGGGAGTACACAGAAGCCAGAGCTGGAGTGACTGGTATTTTCAGGATGCCTGGCTTGTTATTTGTGTGCTGAGATCCAAATCAGGACCTCAAGACCGCATGAGCACTCTTAACTACCAAACCATTCCTCCAACCCTGAAATCTATTTTCCATCAGTTGAGACCAACAGAAAACCAGGCAGCTTTAGATTTCTTCAGATGACCCCACCAAATCAATAACACTGTTCAAAATCAAAATGAACAAAAGCCATTATCAAAATCATGGCAGCTGCTTACAGACTCTGTCATGAAGCCTGCATTTACCTTTGCTTTTCCTTCTGCTTTCTTTTTCAGACTCTGGCGTGGCCTGGACATGCTTTCCCTGACAGTTTGGGCTCTCTTTCTCTGAAGCCCCTCCCCTTTTACATGCAGCTGCTTACCGAACACTACTGCTAAAGCTGCTTACTTTCTTGGACCCTAACTTCAAAAGACCTGGCTTTCTCTCTTCCTCTCACCCATCTACCTCCCTGCAGCTTCTATTTATTGCTTGCCTGCCTGTTGTTTTTCTCAAACTGTAGTGAAACTGGAATTAAGCTTCAAAAAATTAAAATACAACAAAATGTACTACTGTTACTAATTTTAATGAACTGTCAGCATGTGTCTTAGTTACTTGTGATTTATGTTACCAAACCTACTATACTGGGGCAAGGGAGATGGCTCAGTAAATAAGGGTACTTGCCACCAAACCTGAGAACCTGAGTTTGACCCCTAGGACCCACATAGTGGAAGGAGAGAACCGACTCCTGCAAGGTGTCCTCTGACCTCCAGATATACACTATGGCACATTTGTGCCCCCAATCCCAAAACAATTAAATAAATGTAATTTTTTAAGGCACTATGTTATAAAATAACTCAACTAGTCTTTATCTCAGTTTTTATAAGGATCAATTTTAAAAAATACCAAGCACCCAAATTTTAAGAAGATAAATAATTTTGGTGAAAAAGTCAAGAAACATCTAATAAAAAAAGCAAATACTTATATTCTCTTCTAGATACTTTCAAAGATTTCTAGAAACTAATTAATGATTAAATATTTTTCTGTTTATCCAACAGTAGGGCTCAGACTCAGTGCCTCACAAAAGGCTAGGCAAATGTTCTCAAGAGCCTCGGCTTTAGTCCACCATAAACACTTCTGATACTTGGATGCTCTGAGTAAGAGAAACCACAGCTCAAATGTTTATAACATTAAAATTTTTTCATACCTTTCGTATAACTTCTCAAATTCCTCTCCCCAAACCTCATCCAGACCAGGACACTCATTTGGACACATCAATGACCAGTCCTACAAAGAAGTAGAACCACGTATGAGAAATGTCATACAACCAGCCATAGCCCGTTACAGACACTGCAAGAAGGGGGCTTTCATGGAAATTTGGTATAGAAGTAATATTCTGGGGCCTAAAACTGTTGTTCTACCTGTTGCTATGGTCTTCTAAACACTTAGGTCAAGTAGCATCTACTATGGAGAATAGAAGGCTGTCTTGTAGCATCACACAGGTGAGTTTCTAAGCACAACTTAAAAGTCTGAAGAGCAAGGCCTGGAAGAGCCCGTTGCTACAAACCGAGCTCTCTTACCTGGTTAGTTTCCACTCGCTTCATGAAGAGATCTGGAATCCAAAGTGCAAAGAAGAGATCCCGGGCTCGCTGTTCTTCCTTTCCTGTGTTTTTCTTCAAGTCAAGGAACTCAAAGATGTCTAAGTGCCAAGGCTCCAGGTAAATAGCAAATGCCCCAGGGCGCTGAAGAGAAGAAAGTCAGCATTCTTAACAGAATCAAAATATAACAAAGCAGCTTCATATTTTGCACATATTTTAGAATGTCTCCTTTCATCCTCACTATGATCAATGAAATAAGTAAAAGCATCAAAACAAGTAAACTATATTTTTCTTAAAACTTTAGGAGTAGAACAAAACTGACATACAGAAAACTTGGGGGCTGGAAAGATGGCTGGCTCAGCAGTTAAGATCACCTGCTGCATTTACAGAGGACCAGAGAAGGGGGTCTAGAGAGATGGCTCAGCAGTTAAGCACTTGCTGTTTTTGTAGAGGATAGGAGTTCAGGTTCCAGCACACACACTGGATGGTTCACAACCACATAACTCCAGCCCCAGAGGATCCTTGCCTTCTTCTGGCCTCCATGAGCACCCACATGTAGATGCTCACACAGAGATATACACACACTAATCATAAAAATAATAATAAAATAAATCTTTAAAAACAAAGTACAACAATATACAACCGAACCAGCTTTCATAGCTGAAGATTTTCAGTAAGAAAGTATACCTTGTTTCCACCTTGATCCACATATCGAGCAGTGTTATTATATACTCTCAGCATTGGTACAAGGCCATTTGAATTGCCATTAGTCTGAAAGAAAGGTCAAACAAAAATAAAGGCATCTGGATGAGAGACACAGTGCTCAGCAAGGAAAAAAACCAAAATAGTACAAAAGTAAAACCTGTTCTTGATCTTTTTTCAAGCAGTGACTAACTTCTCTCTCTCTCTCTCTCTCTCTCTCTCTCTCTCTCTCTTTCTGTTTTGTTTGTTTTGCTTTTTCGAAACAGGGTTTCTCTGTGGCTTTGGAGGCTGTCCTGGAACTAGCTCTTGTAGACCAGGCCTGTCTTGAACTCACAGAGATCTGCCTGCCTTTGCCTCCCGAGCACTAGAATTAAAGGTGTGCTCTACCAATGCCTGGCACAGTGACTAATTTCTAAATAGCCATCTTGGAAGTTTTACCTGGTCTCCATCCTCACCTCAGCAACAAAAACACAATGCTCATCATAAGAATCAACAAAACATTGCTAAGTTATATGTTCAGCTACTTTAACACAACCCTAATTTATAATGAGATGTATAGTAAGTCAAAAAAATTCCAAAACCAAGGTAACTAAATGTAAGCTCTGAAATCTAATGGTCATTAGGAAAAGATATACTTTGAGTACCATAAAAGAAAACAAAAACATATTATCATTGCACTTTCTCCACTAAAGAATTCAAGGAAACACGCCTTTAATCCCAGTGCTTGGGAGGCAGAGGCAGGAGGAACTCTAAATTCAAGGTCAGCCTGGTCTACAGAGAGTTCCAGGATACCACAGCTACACAGAGAAACCCTGTTTTGAAAAAATAAAAAAACACACAAAAAAAAAACAAACAAAATGAGTAGGTAGATAAATAGTTACACACATACACAGGCAAACTATTACAGAGATTATGAAATATTACATATTGCTGGGCGTTGGTGGCGTATACCTTTAATCCCAGCACTCGGGAGGCAGAGGCAGATGATCTCTGTGATTTCGAGTCCAGCCTGGTCTATAGAGTGAGTGCCAGGATAGGCTCCAAAGCTACACAGAGAAACCCTGTCTCAAAAAACCAAAAAGAAAAAAAAAAAAAAAAAAAAAGAAATATTACATACAAAAAAGACAGAATATTACATACCTGAATATATCATATAACAATTCCCTTACTGATACAACTCCTTCTGGGCCACATTACCAGTAGGTAAAAGAAATAATATCAAAATCCAAGTCCTACATACACCATTATCTTGGTCACCAATGTCTAAAGCTTGAATTCTGGCTCTACCACATAGTATGACTGATCCAGAAAGAAACTTAGCTGTTAAGCCTCACTTTCTTCTTGTGGGAATTAAAAACACTGGTGCCTAGATTACTGTAAGGAACACAGTTGCTAGCATGTGTCTGGATTGGTAGCTATCTCCTAGGTAAGTCAAATGAGTAATTTCTGTAAAGTATTTGTAACAGATTTGGCACATAGCAAGCAACCAATAATTGATAGCTGGTTAGGCATGGTGGCAACAATCCTTTAATCCCAGCACCTGGGAGATAGAAACAGATAGATCTCTCTGAGTTCCAAGCCAGCCTAGTTTAAACAGTAAGACCCTGTCTCAAAATAAAAACAAACAAATAAACGATGGCTGCTATTATTGCTGTTTTAAAAAAATCATAATTCTAAAATCTGAGCTAAAAAAAAATATTCTAGAGAGTATCTCACACAACCTAGCCCTCCAAAGACGAATCAAGAAGTAAAACGACTCACTCACACAGCTAGATGGTCATTAACAGAAACCCATGTCTCCCAAGCACAAACATTATCATACCCATGGTTGTTTTTAAAAGTCATACAACTCAACACTCACCCCAGCAATGTAGCTGCCAGTAGCCCGAATACAACTTACAGCAACACCAATTCCCCCAGCAGACTTAGAAATCAAGGCACACTGCTTCAGAGTATCATAAATTCCTTCAATGCTGTCATCTTTCATACTCAAAAGGAAACAGCTACATGGAGAAAAAAAGCATAACTAAAGCAAGGAAAATCAGTGAGTCACAAAAAAGTAATTAAATAATCTAGACAATTAAATCAAACAAATGAAAATATCTAGAATCTATGAAGTTCCTAAGTGTTTTCAGAAGGTGGGAAACATCTTTTACTGAATATGAAACACCAATATATTATATTATCTTAAATTAACTGACTTTCTATAAAACACTCAGGTATTCAGAAAGACTATATACATACATCTGCATGGTACCTATCCAAAGAAAAAAGATGCCATGAAGAGCCTAATTACAATTCCTGTAATTAGTTATTCTTCTGAAGCCTCCCTTAACTCAATGTTATAGCAATTCATTCCTATATATATAGTCTTAAATCTATTTTCATGGTTGTAAAGCATTCCATTGCTTGAGTATCTCATATGTTCGTATGCTTGTTAATGGGCACTGGAACATTTTCAATTTATTTGCTCTTCTAAAAAAAGCTATGAAAATTCTTTCCTCCCTCCCATTTATTTTCTTATTTCCTTATAAGGGTATCACTATACAGCCTAGGCTGATACTGAATTCTCCATCATTCTACCTCAGTACTACCATTTCCAAAGTTGCTAGGAATCAAATTCAATGCCCTACACATGTTAACATGCACTCTCCCACTAAGCTATAGCTCTAATCCTTGATGTTTGGAGGTAGGGTCCCCCTGTATACCTTAGGCTGGCTGTAATTTGCTATCTAGAGCAGAATGGCCCCAAATGACAATCCTTCTGTGTTTACCCTGAGATCATAAGGACATCCACCATGCCTGGCTCTTAACAGTAAATCCTAAATTAAAGTTTCTAAATGCTACAGTACAGAAACACAACTAATTTATTTATATCAAACTTACATACAAGTATTTTGCTGAAATCTCTTTAATTCTAATAACTTGTCCATAGATACTTTTGAATCCTTTATGTAAAAATCATATCTGTGATTTTAATTCTTACATTTTCAATCATCTCTTTTTCTTATCTTACAATGCTAGCTTAGGCCTCCATTACCACACTAAAAACGTGGATTTTGTTTTGTTTTTATATTTATTTTATGTGTATGAGTGATTTGCTTGTATATGTGTACCACATGCATGCCTGATCAAAAGGTGTCAGATCCCATGGAACTAAGTTATGGACAGCTGTGAGCCACCATATGGGTTTTGGAGACCCAAAGTAGGTCTTCTACTAGAGCCACAAGTGCTCTTAACCTCTGAGCCATCTCTCAAAGTTTTTAATGGATATCTTTTACCAAATTAAGGAGGTTATTTTCCACACCAATTTTGCTAATGAATTTTATTATAAAACAACAATGAATTATATGTTAATACAATGAAATATGTATGTAGATCCTGGCATATTCTCAAATTCCTAGGATACATAGACTTGTTAAGGGCATTTTTTTCTTTTACTTACTCCAGACACTGTAACTGTGATCCCTTTCACAGCTAAGGGCATCACCAGTGATCCTGTTATTCCGCCCATAAATTCAGGAACCATCCTTAACCCAGATTCAGAACATCACAAATTCTATCACTTTCATTCCCATGTATCTTAGGAATGTGAGTCCTTCTCTCAATCTCTATTTTCACCTCATTAATCCTTCCACAATCTTAAAAATAAATTACTGCAGGAATTACTGCTCTAGATACCTACTAATCATTTCTTTTCTTACTAATCATTTTAACAGTGTTGAAAAGTCTTTACCCAAAGGTCTTGATCTACCACTGAGATATAGCCTATTTTTTAATTAAAAACAACTCTCCTGGTATATAAATGATATACAATTCCCTATCAAAAACATTCTCTTCAATAGCACCTAAACCATTCAGTTGTACAACTACTTCCACAATTTTATAAAGTTCTCATTAGCAGCATTTGCCCTCTTCCAAGTTGTTTACCCTAACAGTCAGAGATTGCTTCAAATGCAAATTATTTCATCAGAGCAGGCAATAATTGAAGTTTTTGTTTGTTTTTAATGTAATGAACCCCCTGACTTTTTCTTATGCCCCTAGTCAAACCATGGGTTCAATTCCTAGAACCCACGTGGTAGCTCAGAACTATCTAACTTCAGTTCCAGGGATCCAATGCCCTTTTTAGATTGTGGGCAATAAGCACACACATGATGTACATATATACATACAGACAAAACACTAATATAAATAAGTAAACCTTTAAAAAAGAAAACAACAGGAACAAAAAGCAGCTATAGATGATACGTGCCTGGACAGTTGTGGGCGGTTGGTCCCAGCATTGAACAGAGTAGGAGAGGCATGAGTAAACCACTTCTCAGAAAGCAGGTTGTATGTTTCAATTGCAGCATCGATATCTTCTTTGTGAATCCCCACAGACACCCTCATCAACATATGCTGTGGTCTTTCAGCCACTATAAACAAAGTAGGAGTTTTCAGATAATGGGATATGTCAGAATAACTAGGCTGAAACATTTAACACAAAAGAAACTTATAAAAGCTTTACAAACAAGCAACACAATTATTTATAATAAACCTAAAGTTCAAATGTCATTTAAAGATATCTTGCTGTCCTTACCATATGATAATCCCCAGAACCATGAGCTAAGAAAATTTCTATTCTTTACAATAAAACAACAGCAAAAAGGTTATTTGGAAGGTTGCAAAATGGCTCAGCGGGTAAAAGCACTCATTGCTAAGGCTAACTACTGGAGTTCAAACCCTGGGTCCCACGTTGTGGAAGGGGAGAATAAACTCTTACAAGTTGGCCTCCAACTTCCACATTTACACATTATGGCACATGCACATCTCTCCCTTCCCATGCCCATGCACACAAATAAATAAATGTAATAATTTTTTAAAATGTGTATGGGTGTTTTGCTTGCATATGTGTATCTATGTACCATGTGCATGCCTGGTGCCCACAGAGACCAGAAGAGGGCATTGGATACCCTAGAACTGCTGCTACAGATAGTTGTGAGCAGCCAGGTTCTTAACAACTGAGTCATTTCTCCAGCCCCAAAAGCAATAAATGTTTTAAAATGTTATTTGGAGTGTAAACAGAAATGTTAAGGCTAATACTCTACATTCAACATAATGAACAGAAAAAGTAACATTCAACATAATGAACAGAAAAAGTAACATACATGTTCATTTCTTACCTTTTCCATTGATCTTCAACAAATAGGACCGCTCCAGTGTCTAGAAGAGCAAATCCACGAAAGAATTCTCAAGTTTTTAAATATACAGTGAATATGCAATTCATATAGTAAGGTAGTCTGCTGAAATCTCCCAACCTTATCATTTTAAATAAAAAGGATAACATTTACCATTTCTACCTTCAGTCTAGAGCATTATCACTTGGCTTCTCCTGCTTCAGCAAAGATTACATGTAAACTTCTGTGAAAGACCCAGTGGCATACAACAATGTTATAGGCTGTGGTAAGAGTAACAGCAGGAGCCAACAGCAGCAGCAGCAGGATGTTTCAACATCTGTGCAGTGCTTGTAAGAGACTAGACACTAACCCAAGCAACATAATCTCCAGAAGAGCATATTGAATCTTATATTATCCCCCTTTAAGGAGACTGATTGCATGGCTCATGAACAAGAAATGGGAGAGCTGAACCCAGTTGGTCTGATGCCACCATCCCTGTCCTTAGTCACTACCTTGGGTAAGCAACACTATATTTAGACAAATACTTCGCAGAGCAGGGAGTCAAGTTACTGCAAAAATAGTAGAATATGGAATATTGTAACAGATTATCCAAGTAATTTTTAAGATAACACAGAAATAATATTTGTAAAGTTCAAAAACTATTAATGACTAAGTGGTTTTTGCTTAAAGTTTCACCACTACCACAATCCTACCATAACCAGGTGCATCCAAACTAAACCACCAAACATAAACAAAAACCCTATACTTCTTGTTAAGGAATCCCCACATATTTAAAAACCCATTGTTTATTTACCTTAAAGCCAAAGTAATTATAAGAGAAATCTCGGTCGTAGATAATGGCAGAATTCAGGCGCTGAAGTGAATCAAAAAGAATCCATAGTTAAAATAATAAGACTTTTTCACAACTTCTAATATGTTTTTAACTGACTCCAGAACTAAAACTAATATATAACATCAAAGAGATAGCACTATGTCTTTATTCTTACAGACAGAAAACAAACACCGGAAAGACAGAGGGGGTGGGGAAGCATACAAATTGCTCCCTAATTGGACATGTAAACATGTGGGCTAGAGGCTATGTGACAGAATAGTAGAGTGCACCAGGTCCTAGGTTCCATTCTTAACACCACAAAAAAAAAAAAAAACTTTTGAACTTTAAAATATAATTATTTAAAACCTAGAGAACTTACACTGTGTGATTAATTTCCCTTGTGTTTCTATCGATTTGAAAGAACATGAGTAGGGACTCGAGAAATGGCTCAGTGGTCAAGAGCACTGGCTGTTCTTCCAGAGGACCTGGGTTCAATTCCCAGCACCCACATGGCAGCTCACACATGTCTAACTCTGAGATCTGACACTCTCACACAGACATACATGCAGGCAAAATATCAATGCAAATGAAACAAAAATTATAAAAAAAGAACATGATAAATGAAAGTGACTATATGATGTTTTCATACTAGTAAATATTAAAAATATTGGTACCAGACACTAATTCATATTTTCATATTTTTTTAACTTTATTGCATGTGTGTACACTTTAATTTTTTGTTTTTTTCAAGACAAGGTTTCTCTATATAGCCCTGGCTGTCCTGGAACTCAACTCTGTGGACCAGGCTACCCTCATACTTAGAGATCCGCCTGCTTCTGCCTTCAGAGTGCTAGGATTAAAGGTGTGCACCTGGCTTCACCTTTTAATTTTTATTGAGACAGGAACTTGCTATGTACCTCTGACTAGCCTGAACTAAGTAGACTAGCAGTCTAGTCTTGAACTTGCAGGGACAATCTTAACTCTGCTTCCTCCTAGGATCATAAGCATATACCACCATTTTCAGCTTCCAATTTTTTATTTGACATTGAACCCACTTTAAACCGAACAAAATAATACATATTACAAGCAAACAGAAAGTAGCTTATAGGGTTTAAAAACTCATGGTCCTTTAACAGCTCTAAAACTAATTACTATTTTTTTAAAGATTTATTTATTTTATTATGTGTACAGTGTTCTGCCTGCATGTATAACTGCTGGCCACAAGAGGGCACCAGATCTCATTACACATGGTTGTGAGCCACCATGCGGTTGCTGGGAATTGAACTCGGGACCTTTGGAAGAGCAGGCAGTGCTCTTAACCACTGAGAAATCTCTCTAGCCCAACAAATTACTATTGTGGTAATAAGATTTTATAAAATTGGCCAATGTTGGGACTGGAGAGGTGGCTCAGAGGTTAAGAGCATGGACTGCTCTTCCAGAGGACCTGGGTTCAATTCCCAGCACCCACATGGCAGTTCACAACTGTCTGTAACTCCAATCCAGGGGATCTGACACTGTCACAGACACACATGTAGGGAAAACACCAACGTACACAAAAATAAATATAAATTATTTTAAAAAAAAAATGGCCAATGTTGCTGGGTGGTGGGGGTGCATGCCTTTAATCCCAGTACTCAGGAGGCAGAGTCAGGAGGATCTCTGTGAGTTTGGGACCAGCCTGGTCTACAAGAGCTAGTTCTAGGACAGCCTCCAAAGCCACAGAGAAACCCTGTCTCAAAAAACACAAAAACAAAAATGGTCAATGTTAAAGAACTTTCGTAGGCCGGGCTTTGGTGTCACACACTTTAATTCTAGCACTCAGGAAGCAGAGGCAGGTGGATCTCTGTGAGTTCGAGGCCAACCTGATCTCAGAGCGAGTGCCAGGATAGGCTCCAAAGCTACACAGAGAAACCCTGTCTCGAAAAACCAAAAACAAGGAATGTTATACCACTGATAGGATAAGTGATAAATGAGGCAGATTCATAAATGCTGATATTTATGAGTTATAGCTCTAAGTGAAAATAACAACAGTGAGAACAGAATGCCCATGCTCTGTAGAACATGTTGGCCTTTATCTCAGAGAATTGCCTGCCTCTGCTTGCATGTACTACCACTACCTAGCCTTAAATACATTACTTTAAAACAAAACAAACAAACAAACAAACAAAAATCAAAACATTTCCACCAGAAAAAAATGTTGTACATACATCTTTATTGGCCATAACAATATCCAGTGTTGAACTGGCCACCATGGGAGAATGTCTGCCATTATGTGGATTTATGTAGTTGTGAAGATCTTCCATCACATCTGAGGAAAGATAAAATAAAAAAGGAAAGTCAAAACCACTTAATGCTGTTTGAAAACAGTGGCTTTCAATTCTTGTTTTTTAAATACCAACCCACTTCAGTGCCTAGCAGAGAAAATATTCAACAAACATACGTCTGTTGAGTTCCTATAGGATAATACTTTATATATATAAAGAAATAGTCTTTCAAAGAAAATTAATGTAAGCCAGGCGTTGGTGGTGCACACCTTTAATCCCAGCACCCGGGAGGCAGAGGCAGAGGCAGGCAGATCTCTGTGAGTTGGAGGCCAGCCTGGTCTCCAGAGCGAGTGCCAGGATAGGTTCCAAAGCTACACAGAGAAACCCTGTCTCGAAAAACAAAACAAAACAAAACAAAACGAACAGAAATTCAAGCCAGAATAATGACATATGCCTACAATCCCAGAACTTAAGGGATAGAGACAAAAGCATCGGGAGTTCAAGGCTGGCCTTGGTTACAAACTGAGTTTGCAGGCATCCTGGGCTAAATGAGACCTTGTCTCAACATACACCACACACACACATGTAGCAGGTCAGCTACATGGAAAAGCAGGAAGTTCCAGTTTACACTATACCACTGAGTTGTTTACTGCCTTTTAAAATAAGATGTAATCTTTGAAACTTATGTAATTATTATTCCTATAATGTTATGACAGCATTAAATTCTTTAAAATGTTGTTACTCCAGACATACCACTGAACACTTTCTTTGTTTCTTTGTGCAAGTTAGACACAGCAATCCTGGCTGCTAAGATGGCATAGTCAGGGTGCTTCGTAGTCAAGGTTGCAGCTGTCTCAGCAGCCAGAGTATCCAGTTCCACTGTGGTGACCCCACTATACAGGCCTTGGATTACTTTCATGGTGATTTGAGCCTACAAAAATAAAACCAATAGTTATTTGAGCTTTCCCAAGAAACAATAGCCTCCTTAAAATAGTTAAGTTATAACATAATCTCCTCATTTGAAAACCATTATTTATCCCAATGTAAGAATCCATAAACCAACAAAACTACCAAAAATGTATCCTATACATATAAAATAGAAGTTTAGTTTTTCGAAAGAGTAAGTACATGCCTCATGCTAACAGATGGCAGATCCTCTGGGACTGGAGTTACAGTTGAGTTGTCATGTGGATACTGGGAATTGAACTTGGTTCCTCTGGAAAAGTAACCAGTGCTCTGACCTGCTGAACCATCTCTCCAGCACCCACCTCACACATTTTAGTTTTTGAGTCAGGGTCTCTCATTGATCCTGGAGTGCACTATCTGGACAAGATAATATACCAGTGGACTTCAGGAAGCCCCCTGTATCTGCCTTCCCACAGGCATGCACTATCACATCTGACTTTTTCCATGGGTGCTGGGAATCCAAACTCAGGTCCTCAGGCTTACAAAGCAAGCACTACCAACTGAGCCCTCTCTTCACATCAGTATAGGCTCACTCACCCATGCAGGTGCATGTGGAGGTCAGAATGGATTTCAGGATTCAACTTGCCTCTCTCCTTATTTTTAGTTCAGTAAAGACCATTTAAAATTGAAAGATCAATAATAACAAAAGCACAGAGTATATGAATAGCTTTGTTTTTTCACTTTTGTTTTCAGACACATTTTTACAAAGTATCCCTGGCTTGCCTGAAACCAGATAGTTTTTATGTTTTAATTGAATTATTATTACAATTATTTTCTCCCACAGTAATAAGAATAAATGAACAAGGAATGAAGAAAAAAACAAAAAGCAAACACACACACACAAAAAAAAAAAAAAAAAAAAAAAAAAAAAAAAAAAAAAACCCACACAAGTACACAGTACACACAGTCAGAGGAGCCAGCACGGAAAGCACATGGACAGAAGTCTCACTGTGACAATGTCTCCTTGAGTCTGGAGCTTGCCAATTTAATGTGTGCCTGGGATCTGACGCTTTTATGTGCCCAGAGCTGGGGTTAAACACACTGCTGTACCCAGCTTTTCCACATGGGTTGCAATCCAAACTCAGGGTCTCATGCTTACAGAGCCCACCATACATTTTAAAGAAAAATAAAATCTAAGTTGTATCTACATATTTACTATAAACCTTTTAAAAACAGCTTAACTGGGAAAGTTGGCCAAAGCATATCTCTTTCAAAAACAGTATGAGTGAATGTTGGCAGTTACTATGATTGCATTTACAACACCGTTGAGGCAGTTTGCTCCTGATTGCCTTCTTGATTCAACAGAGAAGTATGAAAGCAGTGCTAGTTTCTGATGCTATGTGGACAGTAATCAGAACTCGGAATAGCATAACATCCATGTGCCACGTCTAATATCATCCAGACTTTCTGCAACAGGATCCACCCTGGGAAGATGTCGTCCAGTAAGGAATCCCTGCATGTGGACATGTGTTGTTAGGTGAGCAAACAATATCTAAGAACCAAGAAACTCGCTATTTGTTTCTCAGTGCACTACCACTAACTTCAATCAGTCCCTTCCTCTCTCTTTGGGCCTGTCTTATCTACAAAACAAAGATGAACTAGAATAAGGCCTCAGATTCATTGCAATATTAACATTTGACTGTTTTAATTACTATCTAGAAGTCCAAAATGTATAGATTTATAATAAATATATTTTAAAGTACAAGATTATTTTCTCACTTTGGCTAGCTAAACATTTATCAAGTACCTAATTAGCTAAATGTCACACTATGGCTCTCACAAGAATAAGGTATATTCAAGAGGGTTGGAGGGATGGCTCAGCAGTTAAAAGAGTGCATACTGAGCTGGGTGGTGGTTTCACATGCCCTTAATCCCAACACTTGGGGGTGGGGCAGAGGCAGGTGGATCTCGTGGGTTCGAGGACAGCCTGGGCTACAAAGAGAATTCCAAGGACAGGGCTGTTACACAGAGAAACCCTGTCTTGGAAAAAAAAAAACAAAACAAAAAAAAAACCCCCGCTCTTTCAGAGTTATATTCCCACACCCACATTATGGGGGACCCACAACAGCCTATAACTCTAGCTCTACAGGATCCAACAGCCTCTTCTGGCCCCTTTGGGCACCCACACACATTTGGTTAGAGACATAAAATAAATCTTAAAAAAACTCATGAACTCACAGCTGCAGTGGTTATCTGCACAAGATTTCTGCAATATTGGGCCCATTAGCATTTCATGAGGGAAGGATGGGCTTACAGGGCCCTACCCTTCACTGCCCAGTTAATGGTTGCTGGAGGAGTCAAATTCCTCAGTAATGCAATCACTGGTAATTTGCCCTTGCTCAATCAGGTAAATTAAGCCCAGACTCCTGCTCATACAAGCAGCCCTAACTAAATGAAGTGGGACAGATGGGGACGAATGCTCACACACAAAACACAGAGGACACAGTCAGACAGACATGCTCACACACAAACTCACAGAGGAGGACATACACAGACACATGCTCACATACAAGCACAGAGAGCACTAGAAGGACTTGTGGAAAAGAAGTTTGGTGGGAAGGATCTAAGAGGACACTGGGGAAAAGAAGATAAAAATATATTTTATATATGGATGTGTACATAACCAAACCCATACTGTGTGGTTAAAGCTCCAAGAGGAATATAGGCACCATAACAGGATAAATAAGATGCCTAAACCGTGGTAAGATCAACTGCTCCCTCTTTTTTCACATTCAGAGTTCTCTGAAGGACACATCAAAATTAAGAAAAGTTTCAGGTAATAAATTGACATTTAACACTTAAGTATACCTACGTGAAGGTCTAGAGATCAGAGACACACAAAATCGCACAAAGCAAAGACCCATGACATAAACTATATTTACTTACAGGATCAACAAAGTCCATATTGAGTCCATAACAGAGTTTCTGGATTCGTGATGTAATTTTATCAAACATAACTCGCTCTTGGCGGCCATCTGAAGAATCAAACCACAGTTTGCATTAGCAGTCATTAAGATGGCAAAAATCAAAAAATCAACTGTAATCAACCTTTGAAAGTGACCAAACAGAGTTCATTAAGAGATTGTCGTTGGATCGGTGGTTAATCTTATCAATTTGATTGGATTTATAGTCACCTACCTCAGCACTTAGGAGGCAGAAGAAGCAAGCAGATTTCTGTGAATTCAAGGCCAGCCTGGTCTACATAGCAAGCCACCACTATATAGTGAAACCCTCCCCCCAAAAATTTAAGGATGGAGCTGTATCACAATCCCACCTGACAAAAGACTAGAAAAATGACAGATGACCCACCCTGTGGTGTCCAAAGTCTTTTCTTTCCTTATTTCCTCTTATACCAGGTCATCAACTTCGTGGTTTATGTATTTGGCTTTTTTTTTTTTTAAGATATTAAGAGAGACACAGAACTGTTATCAGCTATGCGTTTTAACTCTAGCCTCCAATTACTAGCTGGGGGTGCTTTCCGTCAGTCTCTGAAACCTCTTCTGTAACATGGAGCCAAATGTAGCTGCCTCAGGGGATGGTGGCTGGGAATAACAGGGCTACAGGGAAATAACAGGCTACAGGGAAAACAATCCTACACAGGTAGGAGTAACTCTGGAAGGGCGAACCATGACAAAACCAAAGGAACCCACTTAAGGTTAGGAGGACAGAGGCAGTCAGAGCAGACACAGGCCCGGCTGACTGACAGGGCGGGAAGCGCGGCGGGAAGGGCGGGAAGCGGTAGGGCGCCGCGGGTCCGGCGGGCTGGCGCGAGTAACCGCTCTGTACTCAGCAGCCGGGGTCCCCTCTCTCCCTCCTCATCCCCACGGACCCTCACCTCGCTTAATCACATGCATCGCCGCCAGTGGCTGAAGTGCTGAGGGGTTCGAGACCAAAGTGCAGCTCTGAGGCGCTGAAGGAACAGAGCCGACGGTCGAATGTGAGGGTTGGACTCCTAGGGGATGCTTGGCGAGGGGATTGAAACTGCGCGACAGACAGCACACTCCTCACCAGAACCGAGGAACGAAAATCCGAAATTCTTCCCGCTCCCGCCACCCGTGACGCACAAAACGGCGCGACGAAATTCGAACGACGTTCTTGACGCTTCCAACGCCCGGAACTGCATAGGCAGAAAGCCAGCATGCCCGTCCCTTGGCCGCCATATTGAGTGTGGCAAAAACCGGGACACTCTGACTCTTTCCACTACATTTAAGTAGGGTGAAGGCGGACCTGGCAGGAACCGTGTTCTGCCGCCATATTGGGTGTGGGCAAAAGGAGTCTCCTCCCACAAGTACTTTTTATTTCCTAACAAAGAAGTAACCACCCAGAACTGGTTTTTTTGTTTGTTTGTTTGTTTTGTTTGTTTGTTTCCCTTTTTTCTGTTTTACATTCCGGCAACCCCAAGATTTCTGTCTGGTTGGCGCCAAAGCCTATGCTCCGCAGACCGGATGCAGCTAGGAGACTCTTAGGTCTGCACTCCTGAATTGAAGAATCAGCCTAGACCAACGGTATTTGGATTTTAGCCTTACAGAAATAGGGATTCGCCGGGCGGTAGTGGTGCACGCTTTTAATCCCAGCACTCGGGAGGCAGAGGAAGGTGGATCTCTGAGTTCGAGACCAGCCTGGTCTACAAAGCGAGTTCCAGCGACAGGCTCTAAAGCTACTGAGAAGGAAAGAAACCCTGTCTCAAAAGAGAGAGGGGGAGAGAGAGAGAGAGAGAGAGGGAGAGGGAGAGGAGAGATATTAATGACTCATCACGTTAAGAATAAGTGAAAACAGCTGGTGGCCTTTAATCCCAGCACTCAGGAGGCAGAGGTTAAGTGGGTCTCTGTGAGTTCTAGGCCAGCCTTATCTACAAGAGCTAGCTAGTTCCAGGACAGGGAGGGCTACAAACCCTGTCTCAAAACCCTAAAAATAAATAAACAGACAAACAAACAAATAAGTGAAAACAGCCTGCTGGTGGTGGCACATGCCAGCACTAAGGAGGCAGAGACAGGAGGATCTCTGTGAGTTCAAGGCCTGTCTAGTCTACAGAGCTAGTTCCAGGACATCCAGGACTGTTACATAGAGAAACCCTGTCTCAAAAAGCAAAGCAAAACAAACAAAGAATAGATGAAAACAGACACTATGCAGAAAGCAAGACACAGAACACTGAACCCTAAGGGATGTCACCATCAAATCCCTCCCCTCAGGATTCAGGTAACCCCTCAAAAGAGAAAGCAGAAAGAATGTAAGAGCCAGAGGGGATAGAGGACACCAAGGAAACAAGGTCTTCTAAATCAAAATGATCAAAGCTCATGTGAACTCAGAGACCGGCAGAATGCACAGGGCCTACACGGATCTGCACCAGGTCTTTTGCATATACACTATGGTTTCCAGTTTAGTGTTTTTATGGGATTCCTGAGTGTTCGAACAAGAAACAAGTGGGTATCTGATTCTTGTGCCGTCTCTTGTGATCTTTTCCTTCTGTTGTTTTTGTTCAATACTGACGTGTTAGTTTTATCTTATATTTAATAAATTAATAATAAAATTAATTAATATTTCTTAGACGCTTGGGAGACAGAAAAGGAGGGGATCCAGATGGGGAGAAACTGAGATGAGTAGAGGGAGGGGAAACTATAATCAGAGTATACTATGTGAGGAAGAAAAAATCTATATTCAATAAAAGGGGGAAAAGAAAAAGAATAGGTGAAAAAATAAAAGGATAGTGAGGGTGAAAGGTTCAGGCATTACTCTGGCCTGCCCCTGTTACCTGGTGGAATCCTGGTCAGCCCAGGGTTCCATGGGAACTGAGTCTGCACGCAGGTGCAGAGGACCCCTTTAAAAGACCCCCTGCCCATTTACACTCTCTCTTTCTCTACTCTTCTCTCTGCTTCTTCTCCTCTCTTCTCTTTGTCTCTTTATGCTCTCTCTGCCTCTCTATGGCGACCAGCCATGGCAGTCAGCCATTAACCCTGTTCCTCTTCTCTCTTAGTCTCTTTACTCTGCCGGGCCTATAATAAACTGGTTAATATGTCTAATATGTCTCATCTTATGTCTCATCTTGCGCCTCCTCTTCTTTATTTCTAATTTATGCAAAAGAATAACAGAGGGTCCTGTTTTATACTTATACAGGGAAGGTATAAAAACTAATTTGGGCCACACAAACTACCTGTAAAATAATGTATGTGGCTTTCTTTTTTGTTTGTTTGTTGTTGGTTTTTGAGACAAGAGTTTCTCTGTGTAGTCCTGGCTGTCCTGGAACTAACTCACTCTGTAGACCAAGCTGGCCTCAAACTCAGAGATCTGTCTGCCTTTGCCTCTGCCTCAGGTGTGCTGGGGGTGTGCACAACCTTTCACTTGTTTCTTGTATCCTCCGGAAGCTGTCCATCTCCACCCACAGCTCACACTTCATAGGAATTCCTGCTTGGACCTAGAAGACGAGTGTGGTGTGGGGAAAATGTGATGTACACAATTAAGTGTTATTTAGACATTAGGAATAAATTTATGTCATTTGCTGGAAAAAATGGAACTGGAGATCATCATGATAAACCCACCTCATAAAGACAAATATTGCATGTTTTCTCTTATTGGAATTTAGAACTAAACAACAACCACCAAAAACAAACAAACAAAACCAAACAATAGGGCAGTGGTGGCACTTGGCTTTAATCCCAGCATTTGGGAGGCAGAGGTAGACAGATCTCTGTCAGTTTGAGACCAGCCTGGTCTATAGAGGGAGTTCCAGGACAGGCTCCAAACTACACAGAGAGACCCTGTCTTGAAAAACCAAAAAGCCAACCATACAACAACAAAAAACACTCCACCAAATTTGAGCCAGTGGCCAGAACTCCAGATTGGTTCCTAGCCCATTCAGAGAAATTGCCTCCAGCAGCTGATAGGAACAGATGCAGAGACACACACATTAGGCAGAGTGAGAAACCAGATTGGAGATCTCCATGAGGTTCCTCTCCTCAGAGCTTGGGTAACTCCACAGAAAAGGGAAAGAAAGAATTGTAGGAGCTACAGGGGTCACAGACACCAGAACACAGTCCACAGAATCAATTAAGCAGGGCTCATAGGGTTTCACATAGACTGAAGAGAAATGGGTCTGCAATAGGTGCTCTATACCTATGTTAGGGTTGTTAGCTTGATCTTGTGGGACTCCTAATAGTAGGAGTGGGGGGGGGTCTCTGACTCTTTAGCCTGTTCTTAGGACCCTTTTCCTTCTGGGTCATATAGCACAGCCTTGATATGAAGGTTTGTGGCTTGTCTCACCGTATCTTGTTATGCCATGTTTGGTTGATATGCCTGGGAGGCACACTTTTCTGAAGGGAAATGGAAGAGGAGTGGATGGGGAGGGGGAGGAGAGGGAAAGAGAGCAATGGAGGGAGGGGAAACTGAAGTCCAAAAGTATTAAACAAATATAAAACTTGAAGCAGGGGTACTATTTCAGAAGAAGAAAAGTGTTAACAGGGTAAATTGTCTCAGCTGAAGACATCTTTGGTGTCTACCCTGTGGTGATTTGAAAGAAAATCACCCCAAAGGGAGTGGCACTATTAGGTGTGGCCTTGTTGGAGGAAGTATGTCACTGTGGGGGCAGGCTTTGAGGTCTCTTTTGCTCAAATTTCCTTCAGTGTGACAGTGACATCCTGTTGCCTGCATGATGTAGGACTCTCAGCTACTCCAGCACCACATCTGCCTGCACACTGCCATGCATGATGACAATGGACTGAACCACTGAAATCTAAGCAAGCCATCCCAATTAAATGTTTTTCTTTAGAAATGTTGCCTCGGTCATGGTGTCTCTTCACAGCAATAGAAACCTTAACTAAAACATACCCCTTGCCCCGAAAGGTCCCATGGGAAAGCACCCAACTCAGTTCTAGAAACTCAGGGTCCAAAATGTCCCAGCTAACTGCATGTTCTTGGCTCTTGTTAAACTGCTTGCTGGTTTCCCTCTGCAACTGCTAACCAGTATGTAGTTTTTCTGTGCTGTCCTTAAAAACACCCTGTACTATGCATTTGAGGCTACTCTGTGAGAAGTGTTTCTCTCCAGGCAGTCACCAGCTTAACACAAACTCTCACTCTGAACTTTGGTTGCTTGAATGGTCTCTGGGTTTTTACCCCATAACAAAGAGGACACTAATATAGCAGTGATTCCATGCTTGAGAAAGGGCTGGAACCATGGCAAAATTGTAAAGAGAGACCCCCTCCATGCTAAACAAGAACTGCTGAGAACTGAGATACTGCAGGTCATATGAAACTAGTGACCTCCTCACAACCCCAGAAAAGCCATGTTGAACTGTCTCACAGCAAAGCTACATACCTTCTTGTCTTTGTCTCATAGTTTTCTTTTTTTTTTTAAGATTTATTTATTTTGTATACAGTGTTCTGCCGGCATGTATGCTTGCACACCAGATCTCATTACAGATAGCTGTGAGCTACTATGTGGTTGCTGGGAATTGAACTCAGGACCTCTGGAAGAACAGCCATTGCTCTTAACCTCTGAACCACCTCTCCATCCCGTCTCATAGTTTTCAATAAACTGTAAAAGACTACCAGCATGTTAGAGAACAGGATGGAGTTATTTTTTCTCCCCAGTGGCAAAACTATAAATAAATCCATTTCCTGTTACAAACTTCTGTTTCCTAATTTCTTTTGAAATGAGGAGAAACTAAGATGATAGGTTTATGGACCCAAGAATGGATGGGATTTAGAGGAGGAAGTGAATAATAGCCAAGTACTTGCCAGACATGCATGAGGATGCCAATATGAACTCATATTTTATTCAATAAATATATGCTTTTAAAAAAAGATTGGGCCATCAAAGTGTAGTGAGATATCCACCCCGCCCGAACCTGTAGTGGGCGTGGTTACAGGTGAGGACCTGACTGGGAGTGAGTTTAGGTCTGGGGTCCCAGCAGGTGGCTCTCACTTCCGTCTGGTTGGGCCACAGGGAGTAGCCTGTGCGGATCCTTAGAGCTGGAACCTGCAGCAGCTGTCTGCTTCTTCTGTAAGTGACTTCTCCCCGGAATAAATTATATTTAATATTTGAACCTAGTCCTGTGAATCATTATTTGTACCTCCACATCAAGGTGGTAATAAGGCATTTACCAGCAAGCCTGACAATTGGAGTCTAACCCCCAGGGCCCCCATGAAGGAAAGAACCAACTACCACAAGTTGTTCTGACTTCCACACACAGGCATATGATAAATAAGTGTACTTTTTACCTTTAAGATGGCTCAAAAGTAGAATTGTCAAATGGGTAGAGTGGTATACACCTGTAATCCTAGGATTTGAGAGGTGGAGGTAGGTATTAGGGGCTCAAAGCCAGACTCATCTACAAGGCAAGTTCAAGGTCACCTTAGGATACATAAGACCCTGTCTTTAAAAAAAAAAAAAAGTTTTTTAAAGGAAAGAAAAAAAAAGGACTGTCAGATTTAATCAATAAAAATGAATCCCAAACATTGTGCAAGACATGATTATACTTAAAAAATCTTCACCTGAAACTCAAATTTACCTAAGTATCCTATGTTTTATGAGGTATCTCTCAGCTATAGAGCTGAGAAATGTGCACTGGAGTTTCGTTCACCCCTGGCAAATGAAGAATAGTTTATCTCTTTTATGTTTTTAAAAATATTTCATTTATTTAGGCTGAGTGTGATAGCATATAACTTTAATCCCAGGGAGGCAGAGAAAGACAGATCTCTGAGTTGGAGGCCAGCCTGGTCTACAGAGCAAGTTCCAGGACAGCCAGGGCTACTCAGAGAAACCCTGTCTCAAGAGAAAAAACAAAACAAAACTATTTTTTATGTCCCTCTCTGTGCATGCACATCACAGCTCCTGTGTGCAAATTAGAGGGCAACTTTCATATTTGGTTCTGTCCTTCCACCATGCGGGTCTCAGGGATGAAACTCCGGGTCTGTAAGGCTTAATGTCAAGTGCCCTAACCCACTGAGCTGTTTCACCAGCCCCTTCGTCCCTTTTGTTAAGCCACAGAAAACACAAGGTGAGAGTCACAGCCAGCAGAGGTTAAAATCTCCTACATGCTTTATTGGACTTCAAAGAATCTTATGAAATAACACAGAAAAACCCATGTGAGGGTGTCCAGGGGGCTACAAGGCAGTCTAGAGCCTGGCACCCACCTAAGACCAGCCCCAGCTGCACCCAACCCAGGCCCAAACTAGGATCTCAGGGTAAAGGCATAACAGAATGGGGCAGAAGGAAAAATACCTTTACAGCCATAGCAAAAACAGATAAAGGAGAGTTGTCTGGAAGATGGGAGGCGTGAGGGGAGAAGTGGTCACACAGCAGCCTTCATATACATGTACCATCTTCCTTCACCACCCCTTCCCCAGAACAGTTGTGTCCATTTTGAGCCTCTGGCCCAGGCTATGCAGTAACATGAAAATGGAGTCTGACAAGGGAGGATGCTGTGCAGGCACTTGGGAAATTCAGGAGATTTATTTTATTTTACTTTAAAACTGTTTGTCTTTTGGTTCAAATACAACATCCTTGCCCAGGGCTCCACAAGAGCCCTGTGTCATGACTGTGGCTCCCATAGCCAGGGGAGCCAGTTGTCCTGAGCCCTAGTAGTACTGATGCTTGAGGAGTTTCAGGGCAGCACCTCTTAAGAGACACACTCCTGCAATATAGGGGAACAGAGGAGGTAAGAGGAAGGCAGAAGTGGGCAGGGCAAGAGAGAAATGGCAAGTGCCTTATTGCCCACAGCTTTGGCATCTACTCATCCTCCTACTAAGAGAAGTCTCTCCCCATCAATACAAGCCTGGCCTCTCCTCAAAACTCTGGTGACTTGTTCCCTGGGAGCTGGTTCACTCCCTGAATGAAGCCCTGGAGATTCAAATGAGCTCCAGGATGAGGTTCCCTCCAGCTCATCACACTTCCATAGAACAAACCTCAGAGATTAGGACCTTGGCCCAGTCTGGGGTAAGCAGAATGATTATGAGTTGGATGAAGAGATCTGAGGTACAGGTATCAGAAATCACCCCTCCTATCTTCCCACAACTGCTAGGAAAGTTGGGGAATAATGGGGCAGAGGAGCCTGAAAGCAGGGGACAGAAACAAAAACCAAACCTCAAAACTGGGACAGCAGAGACAAGTGGAGCTGGGAACTGAGGGGACAGCACTGGGACATGCACTGGAGTGGAGAGGGTGTGACAGCAGCAGCCATGGTTGGAAGGGTTTCAGGGCAGGCCGGCCACGGTGGTCAGTTAATAAATAATGATGAAGGGCCAAGGATGAGTGGGGCAGGTATGTACAGTGCCCAGGCCCCTGGGCCAGCCCCTCCACGCCCACTCTAGGGGCCAGATTTCGCAAAGACAGGAAGGGGGAGAAGGCAGAAAACCCAGGGAAGGACAGGCTGTCTCAACACTGCCACCCTATCCTGCCTACTTCTTAAGAGGCTTCTTAAAAATTTTGAGTGGAAACTTCTTCCTGCCTGGGCTAGAGTCTGTCTCCTCACCAATAGAACCATTATCCTCCTCAGCCACAGCCTTCTTGCCAGCCAAGTGGGGAATTCGTGTGTTTCGGCTACCCTGCAGAGCTCGGCTATCCCCAATTGGTGAAGGTGTGTCTGGGTCTGGGGAACTGGCACTATGAGAATGGGAAGAATCCAAAAGTGGGGAGCCACCAGGTGGGCCTGAAGGGTTCAGCTCCATCAGGCTGTGGGCCTTATCTAGACCATGGTTCAGCGCGAGTAATGCCTTCTTGGACAGAGCAGGGCTGTCAGGCAGTTTCTCCACCAGAGATCCTGGATGGACCCCCTCAATCAGCCGATGGCTGCCATTGGAAGGCATGGCATTGAGAGCTTCATCTGCAGCACGGCCCATCTGAGGAGGCTTGGGAGCCACACGCTGGCGGTCACTCATGTGGAGGGAGGACTCCGAATCGGAATGGGTCAAATCCCTGTAAGATATAGGACAGGGAGGAAAAAGGAACATAGAATATAGGAAAATGGAAAGAGGTGGAGAAGACAAAGAGAGGAAAAGCAGGATCATGGAGGGGAAAAGTAGGTAGAGATAGAAGAAAGAGAATAATGATGAAAAGAGACAAAAAAGAAGAAACAAAAACAAATGTTATTATATACCACCACCATTAGGCAAACAGCTTTACAATGGCTGGGCCACATTCCTGCTGGATACCAAGGTGCTACACTGATAAAAACCATAGGCTCAAATTCCATAGGCATCCTCTTCAATAACCTGCCTTCCCATAACTGGTAAATTTTCTTAGGACTCAACTGTAAGCTACCATAGAAGCTGCATGTTGCTCTGAATCACCATTTTCCAAGCCCTCCTCCCCCCCACTTAATTCCATCACACCTGGGATACATGCAGTCTGGGCCAGGCTCCAAAGAACAGGACACATGCAGTCAGCAGGCCTGACCAAGGCTGGGGAGGACAGTTAGAACAGCCTTGCAAACAATTCCTAATTCATCCCAAAGGCCAAGATGTTGCCTCTTCCTCCCCACTCATAGGATTCTTAGAATGCCATGGAGAAGTTCTGCAGAGCTCAAATCAAAGCAGGAAGTATGGGGTTTGGTTCAGAGTTCTACTGACAGGGGGAATGTAGAGAGGCATAGGAAGATAGAACATTGGCCTTTAAGGTACAGGGGTTGAGAAGAGCTCTAGACTCTTCTGTGTGATTTTAGTTAAGTCTTCTAACTTTGCTAAGCCTCAATTATTGCCCAATGAAGATGGTATCAAGCTAATTATCTTACAAGACTGTTTGGAGGAACAAAACTGTTAACAAAACACTTGGAAATTGCAAAGTATTGTAGAAGTAAAGGCAATGAAACCAGCCAACCTGGAAGGCCAATATGGGACTAGTTTATAATAAGAGGCTTTCTTTGCAGGTCTGAATTATGGGATCATGCCATTACATATTGGACATATACACAGAGTCTACTTCAGCAACTAGAAACCTTTTAAGGGCTTGGCTGAGCTCAGGAAGTCCAATCCCAAATGCCACTGCTCCTGCCTCTACAACAATGGGGTGAATATTAGGAAGCCCTGTCAATCTTGAATTCCCCTTCACTTTCCTAGAGGCCTGAGAGCTCACAACAGAGGCAGAGGAGAGAGATAAAGGAAAGGTATAAACATCTGATTCAGAAGAGTAGGAGAGGAAACACAGGACCAGGTAAGAAGGAAGCCAGGGATCAAAGGTTAAAAAAGGCACTAGCCTTCTGAAATAGGCAAAAGTAAGGGGGTTGGCTCATAGCTACTGTAGGTTTCTTTCTCAAGGAACAACTAACTAAACAGCAATTCCATAGGCCAGTACCTTCCTGTTTACAGGTGGAAGGGAAACAATGCTAGCTACAGCTCCACTACTACAAATACTGCTTCAGCCACATAATATACTGTCAATAAATATTCAGTCCCCTATTTGGATTTATATATCTGACCCTGGTCCTTGCTTAAATGTGCCTTCACCATGTGCACATCTGTAATCCCAGTATTTGGGAGGCTAAGGCAGGAGAACTACCCCAAATCCAAGGCCAATCTTCTGTACATACTTCTCACATACTTCTGTGAGCTCCAGGTTGAGCAGCCAGGGATATATAAAGATAACCATGTTTCAGAAACAAAAAACTAAGTAAAATTCTGGTATGGTGCCACACACCTATACTCCTACCAGTTGGGAAGTAGAGACATGGGGTTCAGGAGTCAAGATTACCCTTAGCTACATAGCAAGTTTGAGGCCAGCCTGGACTATATCTTAAACAATAAAAAAGTGTCCTTGTTTCTCTAAGCATATAACAATCCTCCCCATAAACATAAACCACTAAGAGTGACAAGACATTCTGAGAAGCCACACCAAAAATGGTGGCTTTTTTAAACTGAGGAGGTAAAGATCCTACCTTTATAGCAGCAAGGAAAGGAGATAAAAAGGCTTGGCCCTCCCAGCCTCACTTCTCCTGACCCACAGTTCTGAACTTGTTCTTGATCCTCATCCTTCCATGCCTCCCTCATCAATTAAATGCAAAGAACCCCATAGAAATATAAGAACCTAGGAGAAAGCCTAAGCAGATATAAGAGGGAAAAGGTCCATTAAGGCACGCTCACTATCCCTCCCTGAATTTCTGAGACCTTTTAGGCCAGAGTCACCCCTCCCCAAAGGCTAGGCTGCCTTGGACTCCCATCCCAAGCTACTAACCTTACTAGAGAGCCTGTTTGTCTTTAGAGATGATCCTCTGGTGCATGGTGCAAAAGAAAATGAAGCAGTGAACAGGCCAGGTGAATGCAGGCACTACCCACCCTTCCTCCCCATTGCCCTCAGCTTAGACCTTAGAGCATGAAATTACAGCAACCCCTAGTTTCCCCAACCCATTCCAGTCCTCTCCATAAGTATGGTGAGGGGTGGTCTCTCTTCCCAAACTTCCAGATGAAAATGAGGAGAGTGAAAATGGGCAGCTCTGCTGAGCAATAACCCTAGTTAGGACGGTTCCTTTGTGGAAGCAAAAGGAACAGCCCTCAAGGATAACTATCTAAGGGTACATGAAGCAAAGATAGAAAGATGGGTAGCCACAGTGAGGCTGGACCAAAAGAAATCAACAGAGTGAGCAGGCTGTAGCTCGGCAACAAGGATTGGACCACAGTCACAATTTCAGGGATGAGAGGTACGTCCAAAGGCAAGTCCTTTCTTAAGGTCCCCTAAGCTTGTCCCATGCAAGGTTACTACCTCTGATCTTAGCCTAACATTTTGACATATTAGCATGGAAAGTCAATGAGTTGCCAGACCAGGCTGAGGAGAAACTTTCAACTCTTTTCTAGGTCACTTAATGAGACCTTGCAGAAGAACAAATGTCCTGAATGAAAAGTCATGTTCTAGTCTGTACTCTGTCTTAATTATCTCTGTGACCTGGGGGAAATTGCCCCTTTAGAGCCTTAACTTCCTACTCTAACAAGTATTACAATACCTGCTTAAGTTTTCTTGCCCCAAATTTTCAAATCTGTATTCCTTCTCCTGTAGTGTAATTCCATAAAGGCTGTGCTAGAAACCTAGGTGTCAAACTAGATTCTTCTTTCTGTACCTCTAGCCAGTTACAAGGGAATCATCTTCCCATGCCAAAATCTCTGTACTTCCCCAAGCAGTATGCTATAATGCCTCAGAATTCCTTAGTCTTCTGTTTCCTTCCTGCATACAGAACACTAAAATGTTACTTCTAAAATGGAAAGATTTTAATTTTTATTTTATTGCATATATTTATTTTATTATGTGCACACATGCACACACACACACACGGCACAGATGTGGAGGTCAGAGGGCAACTTCCAGGGGTTGGCTCTTTCCTTCTACCATGTGGGCTTTTGGATTCAAAGTCAGGTCATCAGACTTAGCAGCAAGCACTTGTAATTACCCCAAGTCCTCTAAAATGGAAGTATAGCCAATTCTCTTTCATTTAGAAACCTTTTTATGGTGCTCCATTTCTGAAAAGATAAAAGCCAAACCCTTAGCCTTTCTGAACTTTTCATCATTCTGACCTCATCTACCACCCCTTCCCTCCAACACATATGCAGACTTTCATTACAAATATATAATATGTTCTTACACCCCCATTCCTCTGCACATAACATTCCCTCAGCTAGAACACTATTTCCTTTCTCTATGCATAGGGCTTTAACACCAAAGGATCTCTTTGTGAAGCATTCCACCTAAATCCACACTGTTAGTCATTCCTCCTTCCTCAGTACCCCAGAGCACTTATAAAGTCCGTTCATAATGTATTTGTGTGCCTTTCCCAGAGAAGACTACAAATCATGATAACTGGGATGGCATCTTATCATCTATGAATCCCCGTGTTCAGAATAACCTGACACAGAGTACATTTGTTTAAGGAGTAAAGGAATTGAGATAACTGAGCTGAAAGTTCATAATTTAAACAAGTGGTATAGGATCGTGAGGGAAGAGGACAGTTACTCATTTTTAGAGTCAGAAATCCCCACACAGCAAAGGGAAGACAGGTGAGGGAAATTAAGCTGACCTTAATAAGGAATCCCAGAACTGAGATAAGAAAGGACAAGGGGGAAGATTCCCCACCACACCTCCCAGAGGTCAACAAGCAGCAGGCAGCAGGCAGAGGCCAAGATAAAAGCAGTGGGAAGGGAAGGAAGAAAGAGAAGAGAGACAGCTGATACCCCAAGCTCTCTGAATGCCCAGACATCACAGCGATGTTGTCAGAAGGGGTTGGGTCAGGGTAGGGATCCATCTGGAGGAAATAGGAAGTGCTGTGGTGATAATAAACAGGGTGAACATGGACGGTGTTGATGGTGGTGGTGGTAGTGGTGGAGGTGGTGGTGGCGATGGTGGTAGTGGAAGAGGAACAGGAAGAAGAAGCAGAGGCAGATGGAGGGCTGGTCCCGTGGCCTTCAGAACTGAAAGACTGTCCAGATGAAAGGCTACGCATTCGCCGCAGAGATACCCGGCTTGTCAAGAAGTGGCCAGCCTCGCCCTCTACCAACCTCTGAGATCCCAGGCCAAGCTGTGGCTCCGTCAGGCGCTGCCGAACACTGCTCTGCAGGCTGGGGGCTGCAAGGAGAGTAGAGAGAGTATAAGGATTGGCCAACGCAGGTTGGATGCAGGCAAGCAGGTACCCATAAATATATGCCTGCTAGATACCTCTCTGGACTTTTGATACCCAATCTAGGGAGAAGGATACCACCTCCCAGAATCCTCCCACTGTGGGACCTGGAAGGATGGGAAATTGTAGATGAAGTGCCCGGGTCAGTTTTAGTGGCAACTCCAGTGTTAGGAGACCTAAGGCCAATGTCACTATAAAGGGAAGTAGCAAGGCAGTTAGTGGGACACAGGCAGGGAGTATAGGACAGGGACTTGGAGCAAGGTCCGGGAGAGCAGCAAGAACCAGCCTTTGCTTTTTAACTAACCTCAGCAAATAATCCACAACACAGACAAGGACGTATACACAAACATGTTCATTGGATCAGCAGTAATAGTTGTATGGAAGGATACATAAAGGTGGGATGATGAAAAAAATGAAAATACATCTATTTGTCAGGAGACAGCAGAGATACTAAAAGTGATGCTTCTAAAAAAGATTTTAAGAACATGGAAGATACTTAATAAAATGTTCTGGAGCTGGAGGTGGTAGGATATAACTATAATCTCAGCACTTGATAGGCCAAGGCAGGAGGAGTATGAGTTAGAAGCCAACAGACTATAAAGTGAGCTAGAGGTTGGCTGGGCTATATAATGAGACCCTGTTTCAGAAATCAAAAACAAACAAACACAAACATCAAAAACTTTCAAGTGATGAAGAAGGATAACAATTTTGATTAAATACACTTGAACTTTGTAACACAAAACACTAAAGTTTGAACCCAAGCCTTTCTACTTCTAGCTGTGACCCTAAGCCATCTACATTCTCATTTTAATCCTCATCTGTAAAATCTTGTGGGGCTGTTCTGAGACTTTCAAGTAGCACCTACAAAATACCTACACAGGTCATTGTATTCAATAAATATTTTAGTCACTTTTTGAAAATTCACATGGGGAGGAAGGAGAAATGTCCCATCTGTTAACAGTATGTTCTGCTCTTGCAGAGGATTCAAATTCAGTTCCCAGCACCCACTTTGAAAAACTCACAAGTGTCTGTAACTTCAGTTCCAGGGAGCTAATGCCCTCTTCTGGCCCTTGTGGGTACTGCACTCATGTGCACAAACCCAAACTCAAGATGCTCACATATCACATGATTTCAAATAAAAATAAAATCTCTTAAATTGACCGAAAAATATAAGAAAAAGTATTCAGCTATAGTGAGACAATGGATGCCTTTTGGGGGGTTGTTTTTGTTTTTGGAGACACGGTTTCTCCCTGTAGTCCTGGCTCTCCCAGAACTCACTTTGTAGACCATGCTGGCCTCAAACTCAGAGATCCACCTGCCTCTGTCTCATGAGTGCTAGGATTAAAGGCATGTGCCACCACACCCAGCATGAATGCCTTTTAAAAATGCTACTATTTACTTTTTTTTAACTTTCCACATTTCCTCTAGTAATACATACATATAAATGACAATGACCTAGCTCCTGGATCAGTGCTGCAAACCAGGCTCTTGTAGAATAATTATCATCCTGACCGGGGCACCAGGTAACTTACAGATGTGCCAGAACATGTCTCTGGGTTCAATCCCTGCTCCAACTTTAAAAAAAAAAAATACTTATTCCTTAAAAATTGGAGAAAGTCAGAGATTACTAGGGTGGTAGAGTTTACAAGGGAGAGAACACAATTCCACAGTGTGAAGAGTTAGGTGGCAGGGCTTATACAGCTGGTAAGTTTCAAAGCAAGAAATGTTTGAAGGGAAGGGAAGAGGGTGGGGAGCAGAAACTTGGAGAAAAGGGAAGAAACATGAAAAAGAGAAAAAGAGGAGTGTTCTTTCCTTTCCTTTCCCTCCCAGCCCAGCTGGAAGGTCCACTGGGACATCCATGGCTGGGGTGAAGGGAAAGGCCTAAGCTTCCATCACCATAGATGTTTTCTCTCCAGTCCTCAGCTGAGCAGGCTGATTCTTATTACCCCCGAACCCCCCCCTCTCAGTTAGTAAGGACAGTGCGGAGGGGACAGAGGGAGCAGGCAGGGGTGTGAGGCAGGCAAGAGAAGGGGCCCATTGGATAGGAGTGTTGGTTTAGTTCCAAAAGTCGGAAAAACAAAAGCCCCAAAGGGGCTCCTCAAACCCGGGTATTTCCAGAGGGACTGATCATCCGAGCCGGCGGATGTAGAGCAGAGAGAGCGGTCACTGAACCTACGCCCCATCAGCCAGGCAGCATCTAGGGTCAACAGCCAGGCCAAAAGGAGAAGAGAATCTGATTTATGAAGGGTTTTGGCCTGTCTATCAATAGGATACAGGAAGGGCTGGGGACTGGGAATGAGTGGAGAGCAGAACCTTCAGAGCTAATGAAGGTTCCTCCTAACCTAGAGAGCACAGGAGCCTTTAGACCAATAACTTAGGATCCAGATTTGCCTACTAGTGGCCTAAACCTTGTTAGGCCTTTGGCTAAAGACTTAACAAGATATCAGATCAAGCCATGAATGGTGGCGAACACCTTTAATTCCAGCACTTGGGAGGCAGGGGCAGGTAGATCTCTGAGTTTGAGGCCAGCATGGCTTACATAGAGTTCAGACAAGGCAGGGCTACTGAGAGTAAAGTTAGGCCAGCCAGAGCTACATAGTGAGATCCTGTCTCAAAAACCCAAAACCAAAACCAAACAAAAACAAAAAAGATATCAAATCAAGAAAACAAAGAGGCACCGGGTGTTGGTGGCACACTCCTTTAATCCCAGCACTTGGAAGGCAGAGGCAGGTGGATCTCTGTGAGTTTGAGGCCAGCCTGGTCTCCAGAGTGGGTGCCAGGATAGGCTCCAAAGCTACACAGAGAAACCATGTCTCAAGAAAAAAAAAGAAAGAAAGAAAACAAAGAGGCTTGGCCTATTGTACTATTGAAAAAATTTACATGGTCCTACATGTTTATACTCCCAGCACTTGGTTGGGTGGAAATCAGTGGAACATCAGAAATCAAGGTGAGTCTGGACTAAACAGCAAGTTCCAGAATCAGCTCATTAAAAAGGACATTTACAAATAAATTTTGTCTGAAATATAAATTTGGCCTGCAGGGGAGGCAGGGAATGTATATGGCCTCCTGAAGTGAGATCCTAAACCAGCCCTGCAATCTCCTCTGTGCTGGTATGATATGGACCTAAGATAACCCCTTTTCCATAAATAAGATTAATTTACTTAGCTAAAATAATCCCCATCCAAACAAAAATTCAGCTGTGGACCAGAAGGGGAGTCACTAAAGCATTCCCATGAATACTGTCCCTTTTTGCTGTGCTCTACTAAGCTCTCATCACCTTTGGAGGAAAGAAGAAAGAAGAAAAAAACAGGAGTGGATGGGAGTAGTAGGAGTCTAAGTTTGGTAGCTAGTCAGACATACTTGTACAGGAGTTCCCTCCTGGGCAAGAATGCCTCCCAAATTGGAGACTTTAGGGACAGACCACTCTAAAGGACTACTACTATATGGAGTTCTCACGCAGAAAGGCGAGGAAAAGAGACATCATTCTATTCACCTGCTTTAGTAAGTAAGAATAAGAAACATGAGGTGAAATAAACACAAATAACCCAAATGCATATTATTTTATACTATCAGTAAAAAGTCTCTAAAGAAGATTATTTTTTTCACAAAGGTAGATAGTAGGAGAAAGAAAAAGGAGAGCTAAACTGAAAAACAGAATAAAGAAAGACAGACACAGGACAGAGAAGGCAGATAGCAAGAGGGAAAAATAACACTAAAAGGACAGCTATAAAGAAATATCTTAATGTGAATTGTTTTATTAACCAATGACAGGAGCTGACTTCTTTCCTGGTGATCCTCCCCAATTGTTGTGTAAGCACAGCAGAGGTCACAGACTTCTTTCTCATCTTGTATACCAAAGGCTACTTCTCTACAAAGAGGTCACCTACACTGCATGGACAAGGGTGACACAATCTCCTCATCCATGTCATCCACGTCGTCAGTCATGATGAAGTGGGCAGGGTTAGGCCGAGTACTGCCCATCCAGCTGGGGTCTATGTTGAGGGCAGCCACCAAGGAGTGGATGCCAGGGTTATTGACAATCTGGAAGCCACAGAGGATCTCAATCTGCTGCCACCGGTGCAGACGCTCCCTCAGTGCTGCTGTCACCTCGCTCAGTGCTTGCCTGAAGACAGATGAAAGAGAACCACAAGTGTAAACCGTGTGGAAAACCCAACAAGAACAGCGTCACTTTTCAGAGAAACAAATTTAGGTACAGGCGTGTATGAATAAAAACCTCAATAAATTCATAAACTTTTTTGGGGGTGGGGGGCGTTTTCAAGACAAGGTTTCTCTGTGTAGCTTTGGAGTCTGTACACCATGCTGGCCTCGAACTCACAGAGATCTGCCTGCTTCTGCCTCCCGAGTACTGGGATTAGAGGTGTGTGCCACCAACACACAGCAAATTCATAAATTTAAGAGTAAAGTGGGAGCTGGATCAGGGCTTGGGCAGGAGACCACAGATGTTACTCCATCTCAAGGAGATGGGATTGGGGTTAGAGGTCTCACCTCAGCCTCTAAGGATGGTCATTGTGGAGGTGATAACTGGTGCTACTTACTTAGCAGTTAAGATCTTATGATCCACATCATCCAGGGAGGAGCTGTGGGCCACATGGAAGGTACCAAAAAGCGTGTTTCTCTTCTTTTTTATTTTCTCAGCCTGCAAAGATGAAGCACCCAGATTAAGGAGAGTATGGAGTCATGGTTGGAAGAAATAAGGCCTTCCTATAGCTTGGTCCCCATCCTCCTGACACAACTTAAGCTTCACAAGGAAAAGGAAGAGAAAGAGGAAAAGAGAAAAGTAAGACAAGGGCAGGAAGTAGCTGAGGAAGCTTGACCTCTACACACTCCTATTTGCTTTATCATGCCCAGAAGACAAGAGGGAGTACCCCTATACTCAATCCCTCCTCCCAAAATTAGGAAGTATACATTAGAAAAAACCAGAACCCCCTGCCAGTGTATCTATTCACTCAAAGGGAGGGACAGGGCAAAGCAGAGAAGAATGGGGGAGGGGCACAAAAACAAGAAGGCAGGGAGGAGGGAAGAGAGCAAAAGGAGGCCCACAGGAAAGCAGGCCTCACCCCCTCCTTGGCCACCAGCAGCTGCTTCTCGGCATTTTGCTTCTTGATGTTGTAGTACTGCACCTCCACCTCATGCGTCAGCTGCAACCACTTCTGAAGGGCCTCAGGAGCATACCATGAGCTGTGTGATTCCAGCTCCTTCTCTGCTTTCCTCAAGGCCTCCCGAACCTGTGAGGACATAGGAAGTGAGTCTGCTTGCTGACACTGAGACTCTCTCCAGCACAATTCTTCACAACTCAAGAGTCCATACCTGCTTTACAATTCTTGAGGTAGGAAGAAATGACAATGATTGTTCTCTGAATTTCAGGTACAAGAAAGTAAGCCAGACAAGAAAAACAGCCTGCTTAAGATCACACTGTCAATACTGCCAAGCAGAATTCAAATGGATACTTTTGTTTTCTTTTTTGCTCCAGCACATTTTTCTTTCCTATCATATCAGCTTATTCTCCTGGTCATGCAGCCAGTCTCAGCCAGCCTTCCTGATCTCTTCAGGAATATATCTGTCACTGAATCATCTTACTGTGAGTTGGAGTCTGTGTGTGGACCTCAAGACACCCACAGCGTGGGCTAGAAAGATGCTCAGTTAAGAGCACTGGATGCTCTTCCAGAGAACCTGGGTTCAGTTCCCAGCACCCACGTGACAGCTCACAACCATCTGTAACTCCAATTCCAGGGAATCTAACACACCCTTCTGGTTTCCTTGAACAGCGGGCACACATGTGGTATACAGAGGACACATTCAGTTCCTAGTAACACATGAAGTAGCTCATAACTGCCTGTAAAACAGGTGCACATACCACAGTCCTCTGGAAGAGAAGCCAGTGCTCTTAACCATTAACTCATCTCTATAGTCCTAGCTTTAGTTTTTTGAGGAAAGGTCTCATGAAGCTTAGGGTGGCCTTGAATTTACTATGTGATAGAAGCTGGTCTTGAACTTCTGGTCCTCCTGCCTCAGGAGGCTACGGCAGCCTGGGCAATATAGAAAAAATTCAAGGCAGTTTGAACTACAAAATGAATTCAAGCCTAGATTGATTTCTCTTTCTCTCTCTCTCTCTCTCTCTCTCTCTCTCTCTCTCACACACACACAGAGAGAGAGAGAGAGAGAGAGAGAGAGCGAGAGAGAGAGAGAGAGAGCGAGAGAGAGAGAGAGAGAGAGAGAGAGAGAGAGAATCTGTATCAGATTTTTAAAAACTGTGCTAGAAATAGAGCTTAGTAGTAGAGTACTTGCCTAGTATATGCAAAGCCCTGGGTTCAAGTCATTTTCTTCCTGGTTGCATCTGTTAATTCTAGGTGAGGGCTCATTTACATTGCTGAGTAATAATCTACTAAGTATTTTATAATTATTTTTTTCATTTTCCTGTTGATAAACACTTTTTAAAATTTATGATTTTATGAATAACACTACCACAATGGATATAGTATTACTGAATATGTATCTTTTGGTGAGCATAAACAGTCATTTCTGTTGGTTGTACGGTAATAGAGCTTGGACTGTGCTTCAGTGGTCAGTGCTTGCTAGCATGTAAATCCTAAGTTTTATCCCTAGCACTGGAGGCAGAGAAAGGAGTAGGAAATGCTAAGTATTTTTCTATAATGGTTGTTCCTATCAAAACTACTACCACTGATGCATGGCTTTTATGTTTTTAGGCATTTTGATAAACATAATGGTATTCCACTGTTACTTTAACTTTCACTTCCTTAATATTGGTTTTTGTTTTTACAATTGGTCATTTGACTTGTGAAGCTCTTCTCACTTAAATACTTGGGTCAGAGAGACAAAGAGTAGGAGAGTCTGAAGGTGTAAGGTTCCAGCTCAACAGGTCCAGGGTGAAGGTAGATTTAAGCCTAGCTCTTCAGAACAGGCCTCAAACACCTGAACTGAGCTGTAATCAAAATGGGTGAACCTTGGCATTCCCTGAACTCCTACATACTGGGTTCTTGTGGTGGTTTGAAAGAAAATGGCCTCCAAAGGGAGTGACACTATTATGAGATGCAGCTTTGTTAGAGTGGTGTGGCCTTGTTGGAAGAAGTATGTCAGGTCTCATATATGTTCAAGCTACACCCAGTATGTCAGTTCACTTCCTGTTGCCTGCATTTTCTGTAAAACTCTCAGATCCAGCACCATGTCTACCTGCACACTGCCATGTCCCACCATGATGATAATGGACTAAACCTCAAACTATAAGCCACCCAATTAAATGTTTTCCTTTATAAGAGTTGCCATGGTCATGGTGTCTCTTCACAGCAATAGAAACCCTAACTAAGATAGTTCTCATTGATTAAAAGTATAGCTTAGAGTAGTACTGGGAGCTAGGGAAACATTGCAAGATGGAGCCCTACTCTAACCATTCCTTTACAAGATCCTGGTTGCAAGATTCAATCAGAAGGAAAAGCAAGCCAAGACAAGGTTCATCACATGGGCGCATGCCAGAGCAGGAGTTGTGGCTTCCATTTGCTCATCTGCACCACCCCACCCATCATGTACTGTGCTTACTACAGGGCCCACTGCTAAGTCTCAAAGCTGGCAGTCCAGGCTCATTCCCACCAACCACTCAGAGTCTACATGCCACTGTATGCACAGCTGCTGATTCTGTGCACTCTGACACACAGCCTCCCTGCCTTTCCTGAGCTGAACTAAGCATCCTATAACACTGGAGGCCTTTCAGAGACACTTGTTCTCTGTGTCCACACCTGAGAATAAAGACACATGAACAGAGAAGGCATGGCAAATAATAAATCAGGTTCTGAGGGTTTCTGAATCTGTATCAAGGGTATCTGTAAACCCCACAGAGCCACATCCTAGGAGCTTTTGCTCAGTGATTTCTGCCTCTGATATACTGGCTCCTTGGTCAACAGGAGGTAGAGGTTCTAATTTTATTTTTCCCCAGTTCACCTTAGCAGAGGCCAGCTATCAACTCAATATGTAGCAGGCATGACCTTGAACTTTCTTGATCCTCCTGCCTCTATTTCCTAAGGGTTCATTACAGGCCTATACCACAACTCCAGTTTTTTTTCTGATTTTTGTTGTTGTTTCTGATATAGAGTTTTACTGGCTGTATCTCAGGCTGGCCTGGAACTTGGGAGTGTCCTTCCTGTCTCAGCCATATTTTAGGCTCACTGGGCCTTCACCTCTAGTTTTGTGAGATTTCTTTACCATTCATTTGTTCCTCTAGCTTCCTTTACCCCTGTATACTGATTTTCAAATAGCTTAATAGGGACTCATTTGGTATTTTTAGATCTGTGTGATGGGGAATGTCCTTCTGTATATGTTTGTCTTATTGGTTGATAAATAAAGTACTGTTGGCCAATAGGAAAGCAAGATAGATGGGACTAGGAGTCAAGGAGGATTCTGGGAAATGTAGTAAAAAGAAGTCTTGTGATACAGGCAGGAAGTGACATATCAGGGAGACTCATATATAAGCAGGGAAAAACAGGAAGTCGTTCTCTTGCCCCTTGCTCTTGCTATTCTTCCTGCTCTCTGTGGAGTCGCCATGTTACCGCCAGGAAGACAGGACGCATTCCGCCTGTGTCCTCCATAAGATAAGTCTTATGATTAGGGCTGATAATTAAGACTGAGCTAGCAGATAGAAATCCTAGTCAATTGGCCAGCAGCATTGTAAACTAATATAATACTCTGTATGTTATTCTGGACGCCCACATGGCAGTGGGGCTCGGGCAGATGGAGTAAAGACTTATCGTTACATCTGTATGTGGCAGATTGATAATAAGATGAAATTATTGCTAGACACTAAAGTAAAATAAAAACTTTCAGTTGTCTTTTCTTGTTTGTAAGAGTTCTTTATATACCCTGAATGTAAGCCTTTTTGTATGTGTGTGTGTATAAAATTTCCTCTCTGATTGTGGCTTGCCTTTCCACTTTTTTAAAATATTTATGTTATGTGTATGAATGTTTTGTCTGAATGTATATATGTGTATCATATATGTGTCTGGTGCCCTCACAAGTCAAAAGAGGGGTTTGGACTCCCTAGAACTGGAGTTATGGATGATAGTGAGCCACCATTTGGGTGATGGGAATCAAAACTGCTCTTAACCCCCACTCATCTCTCCAAACCTGTTTGGAGGGTGGGGTATTGTTTTGTTTTGTTTTTTGAGACAGGGTCTCACTATATACCTCTGGCTGGCCTGGAACTTATTACAGAGATCCATGAGTGCTGGGATTAATGGTATGCACCACCACACCCAATGTTTTTTTTGTTTTTTATTTGTTTGTTTTTGCTTTCTTAGACTATTGTGTAATGGAAATCAATCATCAATCACTATATGCGACCTGACTCTCACAATGTTAACTCAAAAAAACCAAATGCACAAAGCATGTATACATAATGCCATTCTTTCTGTTGTTTCATTTTATTTTTGTTGTGCTGGAGATTGGTCCCAGAATCTTATGTATGCTGGGAAAAGATTCTAATACTAAGCCACACTCCTAGTGCTATATAATGCCATGTTTATAAAGTTTTTGAAAACTTATGTGTGTATATTGGAGGTGGGATGGGTGATATACACATGAGTACAGTACTCATGAAGGCCAGAAGAGGGTGTTGAATCTCTTGGGGCTGGAGTCACAGGCAGTTGTGAGCCACATAACGTGAGTGCTGGCTCCTCTGTAAGGGGACATTCTCTTAACTGCTAAGGCTTCTCTGAAGTTCTGCTGATATTTTTATAAAATTCAAAAGCATGCAAAACTAATCAAATTTAGAGGTTATGACAACAGTTACTCTTGCAGTAAAATCTGACAAGAGCAAAACTGAGCTTTCTGAGTGTGCGTACACTGGTGTATCCATATGTAAAAACTTACCATCTTGATACCTACGATTTATTCACTTGATATAAATACCTCAGTGAAAAAGGGGGAGGGGTAAGAGAATCACTTTTATCTCCCATTATCTGCCATTCTTTGAAAATAATGGTAAACATTTTTTATAGCTTTCCCACTACCCTTATTAGTAAGTCTAGAGTAAAGATTTGAACCAGATTCAAAATGTTCACACATGAAGATTTCCTGGTCCCCTGCTCTTTACACATCCCTTGAGGCATCCGACACAAACTCCTACCTGCTCCAGCTCTTCCTCGGCATATTTTTGGCGGCTCCTCTCATTCTCAGTACCCTCCCTCAGCTCCTTCAGCCTCTGAGCTTCCTGCTTGGCAACATTGATCTCATCACGCAGCTTCTTCTCCAGATGGACCTTCTCTACTTCCACTGTGCGGTGCTCCTCCTGGGCCTTATGGAGCCTGGGGGTTGGGTGGGGTGAGGGGGTCAATGTAGAAAGCTGGAGGAGACCTGGCAAGGAGGTGCCAGCTATAGCTTCTCTGCTGGCTGTGCAGATCTGAGCTAGTCAGGGCCATCAGAAACCACAGTCATTGGCCTTAATTCTTATGTTGCCTATTATTCTGCTGCTAGTACACAAAACCATGAAGCCATGTTCACAAACATCTAAATACCTCCCCTAAAGTATCTCACACACTGAAATTATAACAGCTACTAGTTTACAAGGCAGTACGCATCTGTCCTCTGAGCAAATAGTAACATCAGCCTGGGACAAGTGTGAATATGAAGAAGGCAAATAAAAGGTTACAATTCAAACCTTTGTGAATTCAAAGTTCATAATTATTCTCCCATTTCAAGACATAAATGTAGAAAGCACTTAGTGATAGATAAAAGTGAGGCAACACCTAGTGGTTCAGATTCAGGTGAGGTGGTGGTAGGCGGGAAGTTATGGAAGATGAGAAAAGAATTACTAGCTGGACCTCTTTGACTCTCAAATGCCTGTTCCAAGCGTGTGCTTGCATGTGTATGTGTGTATGTATGTGTGCTTGAACACACAGATACAGACACACACACACAGACATACACAGACACACACAGACACACAGACACACAGACACACACACACACACTGAAATGCATGTCCAAGTAAGGGACTGGACTGAGCAGGTCTTAAAAAGATTACCTGTTGCCCTTGGTCCTGTGGAATTTTTAAGGTTGGTAAGATTTTAAGGAAATCAGTTACAATAAAACTCTATCCTTAGCCAGGTGGTGGTGGCACACACCTTTAATCCCAGCACTCAGGAGGCAGAGGCAGATGGATCTCTGTGAGTTCAAGACCAGCCTGGTTTATAGAGCTAATTCCAGGACAGCCAGGGATACACAGAAAAAGTTACCAACAGTAGACCAATGATTGTCTACAGTGTGGTTGTACAATAAAGAGATGAATATATGGTGTTGATCGAGGCAAAAGAATGAACAATCAACTGTGTCTGAAAAGAGTCAGGGATGGAAACGGCTGGAGTAGATCTGTGCTGGCCAGTTTTATACCAACTTAACACAGCTAGAGTCATCTGAAAGGAGGGAAGCTCAACTGAGAAAATGCCTCCATAATATCCAGCCATAAGGTATTTTTTAAATTATTGATTAATGGGGAGAGCCCAGCCCATTGTGGGTGGTGCCATCCCTGGGCTGGTTGTCTTGGGTTCTATAAATAAAAGCAAACTGAGCAAGCCATAGGGAACAAGGAAGTAAGCAGCACTCCTCTACAACCTCTGTATTAGCTCCTGTGTCCAGGTTCCTTCCCTGCTTGAGTTCCTGTCCTGACTCCCTTTGATGATGAACAGTGATGTGGAAGTATAAACTAAATAAACCCTTTCCTCCCCAAGTTGCTTTTGGTCATGGTGTTCCATCACAGCAATAACAACCCTAACTAAGACAAGATCCAAGAGAAAGAGTTTACTAATTGCTCTGAAAATGAAAAGAACTGTACTATTGTCTGGTCTTTTTAACTTAGCAGGAAGCACTAAGTTAGCTGGGAACTAGGATATGAGGGTGATAAAGGAGAAGATACTTAGCAATTAAGTGCTGGGTTAGCCTGAGTGAGGTCCCTGGTTTAGTACAAAGGAGGGGTGGCAAGAAAGAAGAGGGCAGGAAAGGTGAGAGAAGAGGATGGAAGGGAGAAGTAAAAGGCAAGGAAAGGGGAAAAGGAAGAGGCCAGTGAGGTAGCTCAGTAGGTAAAGGTGCTTGCTGCCTAGCACAACAACTGAGTTTGATCCCAAGGACCCACAATGGTAGAATGAGAGAGAGAACAGACTCTGGTGAGTTAATTCTCTGACCTCCAGACCCACACCAAGGTACTAACACCCCCCCCAACACAAATAAATAAGTAAATGTAAGAAAAGTATTTTTAAAAGAAAGAGGCTGGGCATGGTGGTGCACACCTTTAATTCCAGCATTCTGAAAGTGAGTGGATCTTTGTGAGTTCCAGACCATCCAGGTCTGGAATGAGACACTGTCTAAAAGAAAGAAAAAGAAAAGAGAGGTAGAGTTTAGAATTAAGGTAGAGAATAGTAAAAGATAAGGCCAGGTGTGGTGGCACCAGCTTGTAGTCACAGAAGAGGTAGAGGCAGGAGGATCAATTAATGTTCAAGACCAAACTGGTCTACACAAGTCTCAGGCTCCCCAGGTGAGTGAGGATTACCATCACTACCACCACCAAAAGTAGTAACAAAAAAAGAGAAATGATAGTTATTGTCTATAATATTGTCTATAATTAAAGTGAAAATATCCAGGCATGGTGAAGAACATGTATAAGCCCAATTCTTGAGAGGCTGAGGAAGGCAGATAAGGAGTTTAACGTCAGCCTTGACTGTAAGAGACCATGTCTCAAAATCAACAGAGAAAAAAAGTGATTAAAAAGCAGTTATAGAATTCAATCTTTTAAAAACAGCAATCCATACTTGTTTTCGACTGCAGTCCTAATAAGAAGAGACAGTTGGCTATAAGCAGCTCCCCAATAACAGCAATTTACTGCCTACTCTGCCCCTGGAGAAGGAGTTAATTGGATGGACACCAGGTGGCGATACATGCATAGCTATTAAAAAAAAAAAAAAGATGCCATTTCCTCCCATCTCCTTTTCTGGCTGATTCTACTGTCCCATGACCCAGCTGCAAGAAACTATACCACTAGGGATTCAACCTTTCACCAAAAGGCTCTTGTCTCCAAAACAGCCTCTTCTGCTCCATTGTCTAACGGAGACAGATATCAATAAATATTATTGGGTGCAAAAACAAGCAAATAAACGTACAGTCAAGCACTGTCCTACTCCAAGGCAACAATCAATTGGCAATATAAGGAAGAAAATTAAGCAGCCTGATTGAAAGTCCCTGGTCACATTTCACCTGTTTCTTCATAGAAAAAGGAAACAAAGTTCCTGCCTGCCTCAAAGAATTGTTTGGAAACTAGTGAAATCCTAATTGGAATGTATGTCTGGTGTTATATTTATTCACCAAAGCTTCATAATGACAGTATTTCTATAGACAGCAGGAACAAAGTGATATGTGGTCTCTGTATTCTGTCAGAGAAGGGCATGTGTGTGTACGCACAAGTCCAGAGGAGGGTGTCCGTCTCTTGCTTAGTGCTATAGTAGTCATTAAGCTCTGGAGGCTTTGGGGAGCAGGGAGGACTCCGAGCTTAGGTTTTATTCCCAAACTTGGAATGTCTTTTGCTTAGATTCTTTTGTCTTTGGAATGAAAACAGTACATGTTTTTCAGACGAATGAAGTATGGGAATGGTTCAGACAGCAGCAGTTAGCTTCTAGTTGGCAAGGATCCAAGAACAAGGGGCCCAGCAGAGTAACCATGAATCAGTTTAGAAATTAAACTCCTCTCGCCCCCTAGAAGCCAAGCTAGAGTGTCAAAATTCCTAGCTCAGAGGTTAGAGAAATAGCTCAGCACTTAAGAGTACTTGTCTCTATCAGAGGAGCTGGGATAGCTCCAAGCACCCACAGGGTGGCTTACAACTTGCTGTAACTCTAGTTCCAGGGGATTCTGTTGTCTCAGTTACCAGGCACACACGTGGTATATATATAGACATGCAGGCAAAAGATTCATGCACATAAAGTAAACACAAATCTTTTTAAAAAGTCATCGTTCATTGCTGACATGTAACCTTCCTAGCCTTCATTTCTAAGATAGAGATAATAACAGTACCTAACAACTTCAAAGAGTTGTGATTATGAAAAGCAATAATACACTTTTAAAAATATGTAGCTCATGGGCCAGGTATGGTGCATGCCTTTAGACTTAGCACTTGGGAGGCAGAGGCAAGCATATCTCTGAGTTCC